AAAATTCTGGTCATTCGGACTGGTAGAGTGCTAATATATCCATTAGATATATAGGTTCTTTTTTAAAAATGTTTGACTATAAACATTCTCCTACTTAAGGAAGGAAAAAACTGGTGCTGTCATACACCTGACCTTCAGAAGATTAAGAGACTTTTGTCTAGTAAGGTCCTCAATACAGAATATCAAAATCCAAGCCTCGAGATGTGAAATAGCCAAAAGACTAAAGTTTTAAAACCATTTCTGTAAAAGTGAAAGACTTTAGTCCACTTCACGATGTTTTGCACCTTCATAGTGATCAAACTTGAAGCAGAAAAGGCAAAGCTCATCCTCCACAGACTCAGCAAGAGCATAAGCAGCTGTTTGAGGGCTGAAATCATTCCCCTGTATTTGGCATTTGCCAGACTGCAGAACAAGTGCTGTGAGACTTAACTGGACACTGTCCTGACCTACCTGGTGTAGCCTGACCTGCTGTGAGCAGGATGAGGGTCTAGACAACCTAGACCTGTGGGGTCTAGAGGTCCCCTCCAAACCTGATTATGCTGTGATTCTGCCTAGAAGCAGAGTTGAGATGATTCCTCAATTCAGGTGGTACTTTCAGACTGAGAAGGGGACAGAAAGTTCCTCTACCCTTCTGGAAGGAGACATACACTGGACAGTCTCTAAAATCCTTATCATGCAAATATACAAATAATTTCCAATGTATACTGCCAAGCATTTAAAGAAAATCATTGGTACAGCTGGATATCTGGGGTGCCTTTTCTACAAAGTCATACCAAGGAGGAAAGCAACTCATAAAGTTTCAAAATTTCTGAAATGTTCTCTAGCCTTGTAAACGGAACTATAGATCCAGGTAAATCAATACAGAATGCTCCATCTAAAATCTACCAGTTTGTCCAATGCAGTAGTAAGCAAAAACAGATTAAAAGCTTAAAAATTGTGTGAGTGCCTAGTATCTGCTGTAAATACTTTGAAAAATGAAAGCAAGAACTGCTATAACCCTGCTGCTCATTCTTAAAATGGAAATGAGGTTTCATTTATTCAGGTACTGTTTCATAGGCTTAGGAGCATCCAGGAAGTGCTACTTCCCTGTCAATGAAATGCAAAGGCATCAAATGGTGGATATTTTCATATTATAACTCTATTACCATATACATAAATCAAACAGATTCCACAAACCTCACCCAAAATGGACAAAATGAAGTACAAACCCATAAACCCAGGTCCTTAATTGGATCCTTACAATTATGTTTTATGATCTCAATTTTCAGAATTAAAGTTTTTGGGCTCTGATCTTACTGCTTGTAAGTATCTGTAGAAAGCATAGGAAAATATATTACAATTTTGAAGATCACAGCTTAGCAAGAAGAAAAAAAAAAGACATCTATTTATATTTGCATTTCCTTTTGTTCTTTCACTAATAAAGTCTAGGTGATGGCATAATTCCTTACAGTCAAACCATCTGTTCATAGTAATTCTAGAAAAGTCAGCAGTTACTGATTCTCCCCCATCTTTAGCTATGGCTTCTGTCAGGCTCCCTGTGATCAGCTGGAACCTTTAAAAGCTTTTAGCAGAATGAGCAGAAATATTTTCTAAAAGGAAAACGCAAGGTGATGCTTGAAGTGGCTGGTGAAGCAATGTTAGAAGGCTCTCATACCAAAGCAGTTCTATGTGTCTGGATATATCTCAGACTCTACACTTGATTCAATAAAATTAGGATTATCCCCATAATTCATCTCTGTGAAACACTGCAAGGAAATGAAGATGATCTGTTCAGAAGACTTTGAGAAACATTATTAGGTTTAAAAATAAAGATACTATAATTCAGAGCTGCCTCTGAAGGGTAATAGAGTCTATGCAGCAGCATTGCCACATCTCCCTTCTGGTCAACTCAAATAAACATTGGGTTGCTGTGACCTGCAGTAGCAAAAACTATCAAGAAGTTTCAATGTATCCCTTCATGTGCCACATCACTCATTTCTGTGTGGAGATACAGCATCCACAGGTGACAAGTGCTTCAGCAAGGAGAGACAATAATCACCACAGCAAAATAAAGAGAAGCTAAGATCAACTTCATCAGTCATATAAAGGTCAAAATGGAGTCCCAAAGTACCTTTAGGTCATGAAAATCCTATTGAAGTTTAACAAGAACACCCTGAGTCATCAGATCACACATTATTCCCCTAAATGATAGCAAACTACTCCCCAGACAATTTCCAGTACAGGCAACACCTCCACCTGAAATAGATTTAACTTCTACTTAACCTCTACTATTTACAATTCAAAGCAAAGTGAAAGCAAGGACATTCCATGAGGCAGATCACAAGAAGGGAGCAGAACTGTAAGCTGCCAAATGCTAATGTATGTCCCAATTAGCTGCAGCCGCTGCTGAGAGTGGGCGATGCATCAGCACTCTCTAAAGAGCCACGAGCCAGAGCCAATGGGATGAATGGACAATATTTTATCATCTCAAAGTGGTGACCTGAATATCTTTACAAGAAGTGTGGGCCAAAACTATTGTTAGCCCCTGAATATTCAGACTATGGGGACAGTCTCAGGCAACAGCCAAAGAGTGGATAAATAATCTCCAAGAGCTTTGACAGTGTGGCCAGGACGTTTTGGAGCAGAAGTAACTGAAATGCGGTCATCACCTTTTCCAGGAACTCTCATTTAAATGTAGCTCCTTATACTGACAAAGAGAGGCTCCTACCAGCCTGTTGTAAACTAAGAAATCTATAATTCAGCACAGTTTTAATGGCTAGAATAATTAACAGGAATATTTTTCCCTTCTAAGACAGTAATGAATTAGAGCTGAAAGTCTGGGGGGTTTTCAGTCTATTTTCTTTTCCTTTTCTAAACCTCTCTCTGCTTGATTATCCATGAGTATCTGCCAGTTTACACATTGAATGCTTCTTCCACGTGCTTCATCCTTAGCTTCTGGGTAATCTGAGCACAGGATACCTGATTGCTGCAGCCCTAACAACAAACAGGATGCTTTAGTGACAATTTGATCACTCCTTTCAGTGTTTATGAACCTTTTGGAACCAATGGCACTCCACTGTTTTCTGCAAGACATTGAACTAGACCTTCTTAGGCTTATTCTAGTTTATACTTAGCTTGTTCTATACTATTAAAAATAATGAATACAAGCAAATAAAGGAATAGTAGAAACATGACTACTCTGAAATCAAAACTACCGGCAAGATTATGCATTCCATTAATCTTCCAAGTTCCCTACATATGTCATACATTTAAAATGGATCATTATGCTTCCAACCCTTTCAGGTTTTCAGGTTGAATTTGTTTAACTTCTGGAGCTTTTTACCCTGCTCCCCTGTCCTTAGGGTTTTCTGGGGATTTTTTTTGGTGTTTGTTTGGGGTAGTTAAAATATAAATCTGCCTGCAATTTTTCAATATATTCTAGGAAAAGCTTACAATGTCCCGCTCCCAACATGATTACAGGAATATGATAAGGTAGCTTTTTCTCTGATATGCAACATTTTATATTACACAATAAAGCTCTCACCAATTCTAATTACGATGGTATACTTCCTTTTTCATAATCCTCTAAATACAGTCTTTTGTCCATTAAGTTTATCTTTTGCTTGTCTTATGCTTCAGGGTTTAAAGTTATTTAATGCTATGTGTCCTTCAAGACAATGTACTTTTAATAATACTAACAAAAAGAAGTTAATCTGTAGAGTATGGCTTAGTCTTAAATTCTATCCTCTGGCTATTTTGATACTCTAAGTAGTCACCTTCCCTGTTAATAGCTACCCATTATTTTAGTGATAAATATGAATTGTACAGGTTTATAGGTGCCCATTTCTTTCACCTTTTTGGACTATTAGGAACATTAAGATTTTCCACTCCAAATTTCGTTTGGGTGTATTCCTCCATTCCTACTTTCTCAAACTTATTTCAACTGAATCATTTTGTACTCTGGAGTCTGCACAATTTGGATTGAATTTTCCAGTGATTTTTCAACACTTAATCTTTACAAGGAGCAATTGACAGTTTTCCAAGTTTCTCAGTCATTTATAAGGTGAAAGACATATTTATATCCCTGACTTTTGCCTTGTGGAACAAGTGCTACCTTGGTTAACAGGTGCACATGATTCCCAGTGACACAAATGGAATTCAGCTGTCTTATCCAAGGCCATGATCCAACTTTAATTTTTATCTCTAAAAGGACACTAAGTAATGAGGCATGGCTACTTGGTTTTGTCAGTCATCTTATAAGGGAAACTTCCCAAGAAAGCAAAACTAGAAACAAGTCCTTGAGACTGAGAATATTTAAAGAACATTTATAAGAATTTTTTGTGTGAACCGTACATTCCAATCCAAATACCAGGAGCAATACCCTTTATGTGGATACAGTGTTGCACGATCTGCTCCTAGCAGTTTTAGGTTATTCAAGATACAGAAATTTTCATTTTAGCTTTTTAGAGGTGAAATTTGTGCTCTCATGCTCTTCCACTGAACTATTAAAGCAGAATTGAGAAAAAATATTACAGCAAACTATGTATTTAACAGCTGGCTGAGGTAAGTCTCAAGGAGAGGACTGAGACAAATGACTGATTTCTGATCTGACTTCTCAGACATTCAAAGACACCATAAAATACAGATGTTCAATTGTCTTATCACTGTGGTAGCACAACTTGTACACCAAATAAAGAAAATAGACCAGCGCATGCATTGGGTATTATAGGCAGAGTTCACCAACAACCAGCTTGGAAAAACTTCTGGAGTTTTTTCAGAATAAAGTATTACACACACAGTGTGTAATGATTGGCAATATATGTCTACATGAAATAAATGAATATTAAACAAGCAAAATGCTGAGAGCTGCCAACAGAACTGTATGGGTTAATAGGTGGTTTTTAGAAAGCCTTTTCAGACAAAGCCTCTGAGGTTATTGTGTTATCTCATGAATCAGTTGGTAAAATGTTTTGCCAATGAATGTAAGGAAGTTTAAAGCTGTTGGCTTTCGCCTACCGTACCAAGATCAGTCTTAAGATCTGTTGGCAGACTTAACTTTCTTGATCCTTTAACTGAAACAACAGAAAAAGGAGAAAGGCAGTTGTTAATAAGTAAGAAAGAAAAAGGAGTGAGGGAAAACAACATGCCATCTTCTGGTTAAAACCATGTTGCAAATTTGTAGCACTTTTCTTTTAATCAGCATATAAAGGCAGAATAATGGTTTAAATATTTTCATTTACACCATTCAGCAAAATAAATGCAATTGAACAAAGAAGCACTGGAAAAAAAAATTACTCCAGCTGTCAAGGAGTGAATGATGTTTTACACAGCTTTGGCTGTGGGCTGCAATATCTTACCTTGTGGTGACAGGAATGATAAAAAAAGAAACCACAAATAAGATTAAGGCAAATATTGCAAATGCTGGCTATGCAGCATATCACAAATATTTAAACACCTGCAAACCAATTTAATAAGAGGGTGCAATGAAATTATGAGATCTGATGAAATCATACCTCAAGATAGCATTTGAAAAAGAGAGGGCATATTGTAGAGGTTATGGAGACAGAACATACTGTTGTAATATTATGGAAAGGAAGACAGATTGCACAGAAACGAAATACAGCAGCTTCAGGACATAATGTGATGTTATCTAGTCATCAAAATTTGCACTCAATTTAGTGAAGGTTTAATTATTCGTTGTGTTCCAATTATGCAAGAAACCGGTAATTTTGCTTCTGTTCAAAAATGTTTTCATTTCCTCACACACAAGCACATTTTCAAACAATGAACATCAGAGAACTGAAATAAAGCATGTCTTGTAGCAGTCAAAATGGCATTAAATTTATCAGAAGAATGCCTTAAGAAATCTTTTATTAATTATTCAGAAGACTTGATTTCCAATTTGTTTATTTCATTTTGTATTCATTATTTTTTTCAAATGGTTTTATGGCTTTTACCCCTTACCCATGCTGTCTGTTATTAGAAGGGAACAATCAAATATTTGTCAACTAATTATTATATTACTATTATTTTACTTCTAAAGAAAGTCCCACGTGATAAGTACTACAATGACAGGAACATATGAATATAAGAAACAAATTCTTTGCAATTTGGATTTAGTAAGCTTTTAGGTCAGAAGGATGCCCAGAACAGACACTCACTCTTTTAAGTCACAAAATCCCTGAAATAAAAAATTTCTGTTGTATTGTTTTGCAAAGCCTGCAATGTGGCAGAATTAAATATCAGCCAGCACCTATGTTAGATGGTTTTCTTTTTCTCTTCAGGGATGAGTAGGGGAACCCATGAGGCTCTTGAGCAATATTTTGTTATCAGTAGAACCAGCACAGCCCTCCCAGTAACCCATCTGTAGCCATAACTTTAAATCAGGACACAGTGAAGAGGTCTCTCCACATCAGCCTGACATCAAAAATACACACCCCTAACACTACGACATCAAAATTCTCTAATTTGGATACCAAGTGTTAGGCACCAATGTCCATTTTAGGCACTCACACAAAGGGTAGTTTGATTTTCAGAACAGCCTTTAAAAACCGATTCCATTTATCTGAGCAGCTGTCAAATACTCTTTCAGACTGTGAATGGGTGGCTACTGCTCCAGAATATCAGTGCTCTGCTATAAAGAAGCATCACTTGTGATATAATCTCCTCTTAGGGGAAGGACAACATCTGGTTTAACCAGCCCTCTGAAAAAGGATAAGCAATTCATAAGAAAAACGGTAGGACTCTTCACTAAAAGATTAGGACTTAGAGTAGCTAAATTAGTGCTGTCATCATGCAGCTTTGAGCTTTGCAAATCGGTAGTCTAACCTCTTCTATTTCTAGGTTACAGGTGTTTGTGTACAGCAGGAATTATGTGTCTTGTGTTGCATGCCACAGCTGTGTCCCAAATGGTGACACATGCCTGAACCCAATAGCTCCCAGCTGTTTGTGTGCAGGCTCATAGAGTATATGCAAGGTTTGGACTTTCTGATTCCTCTGAAGGAGTCTACACAGGCTTGGTTTGGGAGCTGCCACGTGACAATTGCACACCCTCCACATGGCTATCACACAGCTGGACATTGATGCACTAGGACACAGCACAGATCACTGATGATAGACCCCACATCTGAGGGTAAAAACAACAGAAGAAGCTGGTTGTTTTCATGCTTTACTGTGATTAAAGCTGTTTATATGAATTTTTTAAACTAACTTTTAACTATTAATATTATCCACATTCCAATCAGTTTATGTAACCTGTTTTTAGTACCTAAATCATGCATGTTTTACTATCTTTACATTTATTATAAAGAAGGATCATGCACATGAGCCTATCTTGCCGACAGAGAGCTTTTGAAAGCTCCAGTTTTATTTGAGAATAGAGTATTAAGGCTCGAGAGGCCAGCAGAGTTGTCTGCTATCATCATTTGTTTACATTCGTGCTGGAGGCAGCCAGCAGAAATTGTGATGCTACAGCATAAGGCAAGACAGCCCCTAACCAAAAGAGCTTCAAGTGTTAAGAGTCAAATTATTCAACTGTGGGCTGAGGAAGAGTTCCTAGGTACAGTCTAGCAGCCAGCTAAGCTGAGCACGCAGGTCTCCTGACCTGACAACATCCTGCTCTGCAGCCATCTGGTTCCTCTCAGTCTTTCAAGAAAAACACCAAGGCACAACCAACAAACAAATGTGTGCTCACAGCTCTGGCACTCAATGCTGAGTTTCCCTCAGCTATTACAGCAGCACTGTGGTCACAGATTTTCATATTATTCAAAATGAAGGTGACTTCATGCAGGATTTTTTTCTACTAAGGAGCTTCTGCCTGGCTAACACTCGGAAATATCAGTCCCAGTTACTGCTAAAGCCCCCTTGAACCCTGAGCCAGGCACCAGGGGCTGCACAAGGGCCCAAACCCAGGTCCTCAGCTCACACTGCTCCCTGTTCCTTGCCAATCCCTACACACAAGTCCCTTCTCAAAAACTTAAGCATAAATTCACCTGTTCAGAAACTCCCTTGCTTATGGGAAATAGTGATAAAATGCACCTTGTATCCACACTGCTGAAGCTAATCTCTAATTACTGTCCTCTGACTACTTAACATTATTTTTAATTTAACATGGATAAGCAGAAATGGTTTTGCAGTGTTATCAGTAACTAAGTTTCAAAATAAATTACATTCCATGTTTTGCAGACACATTAAATGTTTTGAAACGTTTACTTTCTAGCTTGGTTTTCCAGGAGAATACAATTTTCAAATGCAGTCAAATCTCTTCAGGTACTCTGAAGTCACCCACATATTAAGAAAGAGAATGATTGTTAAGAAACTTAACAATATTCTTCTTGAAAGAAAGCTATTTAAAAAAAAAACTTCACATAGGAAAGTGGGAGACTGGCATGGCGAAGGCCTAATCCCAGCAGATTTAATTGGTGAAATGAATAGCAACGCTTGGAAATCATAGTATGTATAAAAATGCGTGGTCTTGCCATTAGGGATCTGTCTCAAAGCTCATGGGAATTAGTTGTGGGAATCTTTACACAGCCTTCTCTAAGCTTCAAAATCTTAAAAGCATTTTGGATGCAAGCTCCCAATACAAAGGTATTTCTATTTCTCAAGAAAAAACACAAATCCTTTTTCATTTTAGAACAAACATTTGAGAAGTAACTCTTCTATACAGAGACTGAAGAAATTCTTTCCTTCTGGTCTTTGAAAGAAGTCTAAAGTGTCCAATTGCATCTCACACAACAAACGACCTATCCAAAGTTGCATTTTCCCTGTGCTCACAGTGTATTCCCATTAATACACTTCATTATGAAGCTCCATATCAATGTTTAAAACAGTAATGGACATACATAATTATATATTATACATTATATTCCTAAGAGCCTCCGAATAAGTTTACCTAATGAGATGATAAAGACAAAATTTACTGGAATGGGTACTGTTCTGTAATACATTACACAGTAATTAACTCAAGCATTTGATACAGCACCACTTACATGAGGAGGCACACTGTGCCACTGCAGAATGAAAGGAGTACAGAGCCCTTCCGACCCCCAAAATCACAAACAAAAATGAAAATGCAGTTTGAAAGAACAAGGCATGCAGGAATAAGAATAGGATCTTCTGAGGCTTTTGGTTTTAAGCCACCAGATACCATGATATGGCATGCCTTGCTGCATTTTTACATTCATGAAACAAGCTTTAGATAGGTAAGAGTTTGGGCGGTTTAAAGTTCTTTTGTTCCACAATTTTTACCAGTGTTATTCCATACATATTACTACATCCAGAATACATTTACAGTGGAAATTGCCACCTCTCAGATATTCAAAAATAAGCAGAGTCTTTCAAATGGTTTTACTAACTTCTTCTTTTCCTTTACAGTGTTGTAAACGCCTCACTATAGCATTTAAATACCAGTTTAATTAAACAAGATACCAGGAAGATTATTCCTGTCCTCTGCCTACCACTCTTAAAAAGCAAGGTTGCTATTTCTTCACTTGCTGCTAACCTCTGTGTGGCACTGTGCATTTCAGAAAACTTTTAATCAAATGGTTTAATTTTATGTTCTATTCTGAACGGTGTTCAGAACAGGAATCTGATTTTTCAATTATATCATCTGCAAAGTCATGTTTTAGTAAGTAGCACAGGAGGAACATCTGAGAAGACAGTCTTGTGAACCAAGTTAAATATTACTTAATGAAGAAGTAGGATTTGTACTGAATTATGTACTAGCCCTGCATGTGAAATAAGGAGTACTCCTCAGCCCTGAATCTCTTGCTCAGTGCTCCATCACTCATATCAATGATAGAACTCACAAATGCCTAATTCTGCTTTGAGGCAGGGAGAAGAAAAACAACACAGCCAAATTATTGAGTTGACCTAGGCTGTCTCTGCAGAAATTTAGTCATAGGTTAAAACACTGCCAAGCACTAGAATGTTACAGGCATAATCAATTTTTCATGAAAACATACAGTTCAGGCACTCTAAGCAATGTTCAACATCAGGCCAAGAGATGAGGAGGCAGGAGATTTTTCAAATTCTCCAAGAAGCCTTTACCAACACTGTTCTTATGGCCTGACTGGAATGGAAATCTGACTAAGCTCCTAATGGCTCTCTCAGATCTAGAACTACTCATGTCTACACTGGCAATTAGTGTGCCCTGGGGATTCTTCCTAGGCATTACCTTGGGAGTCTCAAAGTACACAAGTGAGCACAGCAATGCTGTTCCTCCAATCATTGCCCTTCTGATGGAGCTAAGGATGAAGATGCTCACCACTGTGCCATCCATCACGTGTGCAGTGTTTGCCATCTAGACTCATGTCCTCCAGCAGTTTGTACTTTTTGTATGTATTGAGCACACTCAGGGCCAGCACCTGGGATGACCTTCACTGCTGGGTGAAGAACTGATGTTGATCTGTTCTGGCAACCAGAATGAACAGCTACAAATCAAACTCTGTTCCATCTGTCTTTGCAACCTCATGTAGTCATACCCAGCAGGCCCTCCTCCACTGGGCAGCAACTTGAACCACTTCACAGAGCACTTCAAGTGTTCTTTCTGGTTTTGCTGAATTTCTGAAGGAGCACCTCTTGGTCTGTTTTCAGCAGAGGAATGCGGTCAGTGGTTTTACAAACACAAAGATCATGGGGCTCTTACGGAACACAGCACACTTCCACTGCAGAGCTCGTGTGCCATGGACTTAAAACAGATAAAGGCAAGGCTGGAAGTGGAAGGATCCTGCCTGACAGATCCATAAGTATGTAGCTGTGCTCTATGAGCAAGAACATTAGTCAGTGAGAAGGCTGGTGTGGGTGTGAGGCTGTGCTGGTTAAGCACAGGATTAGTTCCTCTCCCAAGTTTTGGAGGGCGCAGTTTTGAGGTCACTTATTCCAAGTGACTAGGTTGGATTCTGCCGCGTTTTATAGCAGGTATGCAGAAGCAATATTAATTAAATTGTGCAATAATTAAATAAAAATAATTAGTATCAGTCACAGTAAAAGAAACTTGTTTTAAAAAGTAGTTCTAATAATAGTTACTTCCTACAAAACTGCACCTGATTTCACATTTTAAAATATAAATATAGCTTGGAAAACAACATAAAAGTGCTAAAATAGGAAACACCCATAAATATGCCATGTTTTCCCTGCTGAATATCTCCAAAACAGAAAAAAGCAGAATAAATTTTGGAGCAAATTATCTCAGATTTATCTAAGAAAGCTATTTTTGAGCACCACCAGAATGAAAAATTGAAGTTAACTGCAGAAAAAGTAAAGTGTTATAGGAGACACATCATTATAAAACTAAGAATATGCACATATGGTTACCAAGTCAGTCATCTCTTAGATTTCAGTGAAAGAAAAGGTTTTAGCTCATTTCTGAAGAGAAAAGTGAAAAGTTGAATCCCAGTGAGCCACACAATAAATAATCTAAATATAACTAAGCTAGCAAATGTTTTATTTTAAAGCCTATATCATGAGTTTCTGAGGCCCTGCTCAAGAGTTTGAGCTCCTAGTTTTATACCAATATTATTATAGCCCATTTCACTTGGATATCTCCATATCTACAGATTTTGGGTTGCAAATAGTACAAGGAAATACATGTTTCAAAACAGCTGTTTTGTTTCAGCTCTTACTATGTCAGGGAAACATTTTTATTAGTTTCAGCTTTTTATAATTACTAATTAGTGGCTTTCACGATTAATGTATCCTGTTATTATGACATAAAATATGTGAAACAATAACTGAGAATTTGAATAGCATACTATGGGTATTTGTTACCATAACTAAGGGGGAAAAAATATCTGTCAATACTTACCAAACTACAAGGAAAAGAATTGTGATATGCATACCACAAGCAAAACAAATGTATCACAGCTACACCTCCTTATTTTCCATAACATTTAAAAGCCAGCTACTAGAAAACAGCTCTTAGCAACCATCTTTAAGACAGTGAACTCACATAAAAGAGATCAATGTAGACTAGGCACTTGCTGAAAAGGTCTCTAGGAGTGGATGAATTCCACCTTCTGAACGACTATGGGCAAAATGGGAAACATTTAGGAATTTTTGTGTGGCCAAGATATCCCTGCCCTGGCTCATAAGCAAATATTTTTTTCTGAGGTTCTGCTTTCACTGCAAATTACATAAATCAGGCACTGGGGTTCTAATGGCTAAAATTTACCATCTCCATATTGCTGATTTCAAACAATTTCTTCATGTACACGTACGCATAATATATATGTATAGAATTACAAGGACTCCCTACTGTAAAAAAACTTAAAAAGCCTTTTAAGAAAACAGAGAAACAAGCTTCTTATAGGAGGTTATAGGAATATACCTGCATGATCCTGTTACTTCAAATGTTTTCACACTGTTCACCTCAAGATGCACCACGTACATTTAAGTTTTCCTTAAGGAAGCAGACTTAGGATTTTACTGTGCTACCTAAAAAGCGCTTCTCCAGTAATATCTTCTCTTTGGAACTATGCACTTCACTTCTTAGGGATTAATGAAACACAGTGATGCATGACATGAATGGCTTATACAGACTGCAGGAAGAGAAGCCAATCACCTTTACCTGAAGTGGGAGACTTGCAACGCTCAAGCTCCAGGGAAACTGGACTGTCACTGAGTTCAGTCAGGCCTGAAAAAATGGAGTTAAAGAGTTAAGTTACAATCTAACAGGGCATGCTTCAACTTTCTTGGTTGATGATATTCTGCACTGTAAAGTCAATTTGGAGAAAGGAATGGTGTGAAATGAGAGGGAAATAATCTATTTCAGATAAGTGCAGTTATCAGGCTGTCACTGCAGCAATTTAGGCTTGGTTTAAAAAAAAAAAAAAAAAAAAAATCACACCTCTTGTTAACTCAGATTTGTTTTCCGAGTGCCTCGGGATAGAAAAGAGTGACTGTACCTAACAAAAGAAAACAAGTAAGTATAGTTTAAAATTTAAAAGTCTGTGATATGACTCAAACACATTCATCCCTGTCAATCTGATGTGGAATCAACTCTGTGCTTTCAACTGCTGCATAATGCAGGGAGGAAATCTTAAAAGAGGGGAAGAAAAAAAGTAAGATTACCGCTACTGTGCAATATTAGAATTTTCATGAATTCACACAAGACAGGTCATTTTAAAGGACACAGAAACATTGATAATGCTGGCTGTGACACTGAATTTTCTGACAAAATACTTTATATATGGTGTATATATATATATATATATACACACATATTTGTCAGAACTCCACCTACATGGAAGACAGCACCAAGGAAAGCAATCCTAGCCTGTACTGCAAAAACTCGAGCTCGTTTCTGTGAGCAAACTAAGATCCATCTTTGGCATAGGTTGAATGTTCCAAGTTCAAATATGCCTTTGGCATGGTGGGGAGGGAAAGTCTGAGCTCACTCTGTCTTTTACCATGGGCTAACTGGGCATGGCCACACCTATTCAAATGCACCCTTTGTATGTATCTGTAATGCCCTGTGGCTCACCCTTGTTACAGGAGCTCTGGCACTCCATACCATTGACTGCCTGGGACTGACAGGCAGCCCTGCCCAGACATTCCCATGCCAGCTAGGTGGACACACAGCACTCAGGTCAGAGCCCACAGTCAGGGGTACATTACTGTCATACTGATACTGGATTTACACACACTCTGCTTGTGCTGCATCATGAGAATCAAACATCCTACAAGAACCTTTCAGTATGCTTTAAACAGGCACCATGGCTTCTGTAGGAGAATGTGTTATAATTTTTATTGCTTCTGGACCCTCAGAGGTGAGGCCCAGAGACCCTCACCACTAAAATTCATATACACTCTTGTTTTGGAAAATTCTGCCACTCAGTCACCAGTCCTGCTTTCTTAGAATTAAATCCAGTGGAATCTTAATGTAGGTAGTGACAACTTTATTACAATGTAGTTTTGAACTGCTATAAGAACTGGATAGGATCCAGTGCCCCAGCCAGCAAAACAAAAAAAAACCTCCTACCATTAATGAAGCTGCAGGAGTGCAAGAATAATGGTGAGAGCCCTTTAGAAAACCAGCAGTATTGATTTACTCTGCTAAGTCAGTATTAACAACATACTTGTTCCTGATTTAAGAAACAAGATCTGTCAAACTAGACACTATTGTTGAAAAACAAATATTTTTTATTTTGAAAAATGTACTTGAGTCTTTCTTTCATTTCAATTAGAATCTGTGAGAAAAAAAAATTGCATTTCAATCAATTGCAAGTTCAGTCACTTTTGATGTTCTGAGAATATTCAGAAACTGTAATAATTTAGGAAGCTCTCAAATACAGCAGATCTTACTTCCACTTGAACCCAAGATTTCTGTATGTACCTAGAGGTTTGGGACAGAATTGATTTTTTGCTGCAGAACTGTCTGCAAGGTGCAGCAGGAGCAATTTTGCATAGTTCTTGAATAAATAAAACTGATACTGTTTCTTTTGTAAATGTATTCTTTGAGATAGGTAAGTTTTAACACCTTGCCTAAGATCTTCTAAACATTGTATAATTAGCGCTGGTGTTGGATACAATACCAAATCCCAGGTCAGACTTTGGGTCTAAATAGTCTGGGTTTTTCTTTTTTTACTATGGAGTTCATAAAAACAATATTCCATCTCAATATAAATTATGGTGCTATAGACTTAAACAAGAAAATCACCAAACTGCACCACCCAAGAGCAACCACAGTAAGAAAACCAAGACTTCTCCATGTTTGGCACAATTTGCAACATGAAACATTAAAGATACATTTCATGTTATGGTATTTAAGAATATTGAACACGTAAACTTCTCTACAAACCTTGACTTGCTGTCAAGCCACAGTCACCCCTAGCAAAGACCACCTACAGATGCCTTTAAAGAAGAAGTGCAATATATCCCCGTGTGAAGTGTAAGTGGTACCATGTGCCCTGCACAAGAGCATTGGCTTAATCTCACTTAGATTTGCTTAAGCACTCCTACTTGCAGATTTTCTCCTGCCATAAATCATTATTGCTTTGAAATATTTTAATGAGTTCTGTTCATCACACTCCCATTTATCCAAAGTCTCTTTTAATCTTGCTAAATTCTAAATTCTGAAGATGTTGTAAGGCAATGAATTGCTCAATCATCATTCAGTGAAAAGGATAAACACATATTCGTCAAATTTTTTGTGTTACCTTTAATTCCACTTAATGTTTCCCTTTGAGATAAGAAAGTGAGCTCTCAAGCTTTTCCTTATACTACTGCTCATTTTTTACTCTCATTTCCTTTTTAAGGAAACTAAACTAAATATTCTCAATAATTAACCATGTATAAATATTTCCATGAACTTCAGCTTCCCTCAAATGTCTGAGAGACTACAACAGCTATTGAAATTCAATTAAAAACTATTTTCACTTTCCATTTTGAATTCTATAGGCAGTTTGTGCCCCAAGATATTTTAGCTATTTTTAGCCCCCCCAAACCACCACCCCAGCAAATTTTGAGCCCACCTAGAGCAAGAGGAATATAGCAGTAAAAATAAAGGCAAAAACCCAAGACTGGCAATGTAAACAACCATCTGAGAGAAGATATACCCATGGACATTATTGGCTTTAGTCTGAGCAAATTATAAATGTGTAAATAGTGCAAGAGGTAAATATATCACATAAGACATTAAAATACTTTTAAAGACTTGTCCTATGGATAATTTTCCAAGTTTAGTGTGATTTTCATTTCCTTTTTATTCAAGGATCAAAACTAGTATGAGGTAACAACTTTAATGAACCCATAATTTAAAATTATGTTTGAAATTTGAAATTTCTATCTGTATGTTTGAATGATTCAGACCAATCATTTACTCTAAAGCCCCAAAGCCATCACATCTTTGCTTATAAATAAATGGATTATAAATAAATTGTCATAAATATTCACAAGCCAATAAAATAAGTAAGCGCAGTGTTATCTTAATCCCTCATCTTCACAGCGAATTATCATACCATGTTTTCTTTATGTTTATATACCTATATATATCTATGCATGCATTCTTTGGAAATTAGTTAGCTCAGAATATAGCTATTGACTTAAACTCAACCTATATTAGCTTCTTAGGTGTGAATTAAAGTGCCAATTACTGATATACAATGACTCATAGCACACAGTTTTCTGTATCCTCCTGTCAGACCAACCATACTTCTGCTCACCCCCTCTCAAGGGACTGGCCCGAGGGAGAAACAAGAACTTCTCACTGAAAAGTCTTCATTATGAAAATTATTTTGCAATGTATCAACATCCTTCAGATTTGACAACACTTTGGATGCTTCATAAAGACTATTTTCTTGTTCTACCAACAGATGGTATGAATTTCTAGTAGGAGATGCAAATTCCTTTTGCATCATTTTGGTATTTTTATGTTCTGCTGCAGACATTATCCCTCTAGATGCAATAAATGTACTTGTTTTAATAGTTGAATGCATGTTACTCAAAACCATGTAATAACACATACAACTTGATTTCAACTGAAGAAGAAAACCAACCAAACAACAACCAAGCAACCTCATAATTCTGCAGTACAGCACAGAGAGTTTATTTTATTTAGCTTGTCATATAGTCTTGCTACAAAGGGAGGTGGCTGTAGATGTTACAGCAAATGGAACCAGTCATCAACACCTGACAGTTATCCCCAGCTCTGCACTTATGCACATCTTAGCTTCTTCTTTTCCTCAGATTATTTCCCTGATTGGACAATTACGTTCCAGTCTCTTCCACTGTGTACTCCTAGAACTGGTGACATTTCTCCCCTCCTTGCTTCCCTTTCCCACTTTCACCTCCCAAACCAGAGAACGTGCTGCCTTAATGCTAAGTCCACTCTGGGTGCATTGGAGTCTACTTTACATATGTAACCAGTATCAAGCTATCTATAGATTTATTGGCTAAAATCGAGAACATTTATTCCACCACAGTGCTTTCCATATTGGATGTCCTTGACATTGTCAATTATGTCTTTCCTCTTCTCCAACATATTGCTTCTTTCCTCTTACGTGTTCATTCTTTTTTCCCCTTTCCCTGTTCAGTTGCAGGACATCTCAGACTGAAATATCAACACTTTCTTTCTCTGACTTAGCATTTGAAGAGATTATTTTGTATAAACATAGCAATAATGTTTTTAATATATATATATATATATATCTATATATATATATATATATATCTATATATATCTCCCTAGTGATTCATAAATACACATCTTCAACTTGGATTTCTTCCATCCAAGTTAGAGTAGTAATCCTGTCTTTCTAAAATCTATTCAGGATTTTCCAAATAGGAAATAGTTCCAAATAGGAATTCAACATTGCCAAGATCAACTCAACGTATTTTTGTGCTGAAATCTCCTCTTTACTACATGAACAGAGCTATCATCATCACTGTCTTCTCTTGTACTCTAATACATAATATTATCTTTGAATGTCACACTTTAACCTCATAATTAAGCTGGACACTAGATTACATTGTCTTTTCATGCAAATCACCTCTAAAATGACCAACAAAAATGTAAGTAAGTATCTTGCTCATCCATAATCTCTTCTTTGGCTTCAATACCTGTAAGTCTTATTTTCTCATACACATCCACATGAAATTATCTTCCTGCTTCACTACTTAATTGAATCAACTACTCATATATCTTCCCATTAACTTCCATTTTCATTGATATAACCCTTAAAAGTTTAGACCTAATGCTTCTGTTATCACATGACTGCTCCTGCTTTTGTCATAATAATATTGGCTTTGACTGCAAGATTCCCAAAAATAATTTACTTTTCCCATCATCATCCCTTATGAGAAAAGATAAACTTGTAAGTGAAATCCAAAATTCCCTCTTAATACCCGTTTTAAAATACATCTCTCAGATAAGAGATATATCAAAGCACAACTTGAGAATGACTTGGCAAGATATTTCAGTCTGTGACAGATTCTAGTCCTGTTCTTGATCTTACTGCATCTTTCAGATCATACAATATGTACTCCTGTATAAGTATCAAATGACAAAAGCAAGAACCATTTTTGAGGAAAGAAATTAAACAATGCTCTTGCCTAGAACTCAGACTAATACTTCACAGGAAGATTTTTGCGGACTTTTCTGACTATGGGGATGACGACAGAAACAAGAAAATGCATTTTCAGCTATGAAAGATTCTGTGGTCTATGTTTGTAATTCTGAATGAAAACACTAGTAATTTTTGCCCTTAGAATTTATTAATTTTTAGAGGGGGCAAAAAAACCCCAAATATTTGGCTGCTGTCTGTCACTCAGGTTCTCTGTTACAGACTTGAAATTAGCAAGATCAGACTAATAGACTTTAAGATACCATACATCAAACCTTTTAATGGACTGCTGAATTGGTAACTGGACTAGTCTTTTAACTAAACAGACCACCTTTTATGAACTATTATGAAATAAAGTTATAGAAATCAGCCTAGAGGGACGGAACAGAATGTGTCGTGCAAGTGTATGAATGTATTTCAATAGCTACATAACTTTATATTTATGAGAGATGATAAAACAACTGCCACTCTTTTATCCTGTCCATACTGAATATTTAATATAAAATTGCCTATCCTGTTTTTCTGTGAAAAGTACTTTAAAAAGAGGCATCCTAGAGACCTAATTACATATAAACACTGCAGTTAATTAAGATACGTATGGCTCATCTGTTGAACAGTCATTTTTGCAAAATTAATTATAGCTTTGTTCACTGTATTCTGCAGTGATGAATACTAATATTTAAATTTCATATCAGTATAACTCAAATGTTAAAGATATTAAAACCATGAATTTTCATAGCCCTCTTTGATGTATGTATTTTTATGCCCACTTTACATTCCCCATCAAAGAACAGAGGCATGGGATGGCTCCCCAAAGCCAAATATTTAAGTACCAAACCAAGATTAAAATTTTAAATTTCACAGCATCCAATTCAATGGGTACTCTTTTAAGCCACATTGTTCTTCTGAAAAAAGGGAAGAATTTATTGGTAACTACAGATAGTGCCATTGCAAAACAAGAAATGCTTCATATTAGTAAATGTACATGGAAACAAATATAAAACCAAAGAGAGATACTGTCACCAAGAACATAACATTGTTGAAAAATACTTTCTAAGGCCCAATCTGTCCCATATAACACTGAGGTTTTCTCTTTGACTTTTTTTTTAAAGAAAAGAATTTCTGTATAATAAAGGTAATTGTCAAAAATAAGCATGGTTGACATCACAAAATGTAGTAAGTTTGCATGCATGCTGAATGTGTTTAAAAAAACACATTACAAAGCACAAACACATGGGTTTAAGTCAGGCATAGTCCAATCATGATAAAGCTTTTTGCCTAACCTTTATAGAACTTACTCTGATAGGAAGTACGGATCCGTTTCGTTAAATCTGGATAAAAGTTAGACAGGCCACGCATGCAAAAGTTGTCTTTGGAACATGCCAGTACACCAGCATCAGCAGCAGGCAGAGGAAAGAGAGAAAAAACAGTCTAAAGTGAAAGGAAGTGATATCATAACCAGCATCTAGAACAGCCAAGGTGAAGAAATTTCAGCAGATGCTTACCTTCCAATTGGGAAATATAACAAGAAAAATAATCAAAAAAGTAAAAGATGTGGGATGGATGGTGAGAAAGCAGCTGAGGCTTTTTTTAGATGCATAGTTTCTATGAGCAATCTAGAAGTTGCAATCCTTCTCAGTGGTCATTTATCCACAGTGGGCTCCATTCTGGCAGCACTGGATAGCTGGAATGATGCCTTAAAGGATTGGCCCAGACTGCCACTGACAGAGAAAAACCCTCTGTGATACAGTGCTTATAACAGCTTTTTCTACATGAGCAATCCTCCACCTTTTGTCCAGAGTTCTGCAGCACCTTGTTTGTGGCTAGCTGCTCACATTTCTTATGGAGCTGCTGTGAGGCTGGCTGAAACTAGACAGAGAAGCTGAAGGTAACTTGAAGCTGCTTGTCTCTTCTCTCCTCAGCTGTGCCAAATTTACATATTTAACACTTGGCACAGATGGGAACTAAGCTTGCCATGATTAAATGCATAGAAAGTGAGATGGTCTTTCAGGAGCAGAAGTAGGCCTGAAGACTTGTATTTTATTCTATAAATTTTCCTCTAGATTTTACTTTCTGTTTGGAGTGTAAACACATTCCCAATTAAAAAAAAAAAAATTCCCATAATTCTGTGGAGAAGCAGGACTTGATTCAGTGCAGGGTCTGCTGATGAAAATGCTGATGGCATAAACCCACTATAATCTGTTGCTTTTATAATTTTAGGGTTAGATTTAAAATTCCACATTTTCAAAGATATTTTAAAATCGAATTCTAAAACTTCACAGCTATGAAAAACACATTTCATAATTGTGTCTAACTCTTGCATGTTACTATGGAATATGTCAAGTGGAAAGACTTGAAACAGATGATCTGACTTTTTCTCATACAAATAAATGTTTATACAAGGAAATGTTTAGATAACCAACAAAGTATGGTAAAATTTAGCTCTATTGAAGAATTAATATTTCTAATACACAACACATAACAACAGTTATGACTTACTCGATCCTCTTAGCATCAAATTTTAAAACGGGTTTTAGGTTTATATTAAGAACTTCACTAATGAAGCACTAATGAAGTGCTTAATTTGAGCTCCTTGTGTTACCTACATAACATGCCTCCCAGGTGTTACACACCTCTAAACACAGTTGACTATTCAAATGAATAGCTCCTGGCAGAAAATACATTTAAGCTTAAATTGAAGTCTTACTTAGTGGTATGAACTTATTGAAATCAGAAATAAAATAGCATACAAACTACACATCAAGTGACTGCCAGAAAAACAATTTATTACTCTGCTCATTTTGATTTTTTACAGACTCAGCTAAGGGAATTACTTGCTGACCTCCATCCCAAAAGGAAAAAAACCAACCTCACAAAACATTTTATTTCTGAGAAAATGCCCGCACCTAGAGCATGTCAAGTTTCTTTTGCCAAGTTATAGAAACTCCATTGGCCGGCAAATAGTCATGCATTCCAAAAGCACTAGAAAAAGCCACAGGCAAAAAAAACCAAAGAAACATATCAGGCTCATAAGCACAATGATTTATTTCCTACCTGCAGCAAACTGCCTGCTCTTGCGGGGTGAGCGGGGCTGCCGCTGGTACGGATCACTGGACCCATAGAGGTCGAGGGTGCCCATGCTCAGCAGGACTGTCTTCTGCATGAAATCCACAACTGCCAAACCATTGCAGTTCCCAAAAGCCACTCTGCAAAGAGAAATGTCCCTCAAAAGTGTTAGCAATATGTAATTTAATCCTGAAAACGATAATAATTATTATTATGAATAGTGCACAAACCTTTTCTTCAGGAACTACTCAAGCTCACGTTTTTTATTTCTTACAGATTTGTAATCCTGAATTTAAAAAACTGTTTTCTGAATTAATTTTCCAGAAAGCAGTTACAACTTCTACCAACTTTCTGTATCAAACACATTGCAGTAATGTCTAAACGTTCCTTCATTGAACAGTATCATTCTAATGATAATGATATCAATTAAGACTAAAAATTGGGACATAGATATTAAAAAGTGGGCATGTATTTATATAAAATACAAATTAAAATATAAATACAAATACAAATACATTACATTTAACATTTTAAAGCTAAATGTTAATGAAAAATGAAATATATTAGGCTGTATTGTGGAGATACCCAAATCTGAAAAGCATTTATAAAATTTCTTCCAACTCTGTCAGCTTATCTACAGCAGAGATTTCTGTTAAAACAGTCTCTACCCCACTGAAATACTTCTGCAAATGCATTTTGATGTTGGTTTGATTTATGGGCAAGATCTCTCTCCTTCTGCATCAGACTGCAATTTTAAATTCCAGACAGAAAGGATTGCAGGTACAGCCACAAAGAAACTCAAAAACCCAAACTATGTTCAATCATATTCAGAATCACTTGCTATCAGGTTCTGTAATTTTCTGCACAGAAGCATAAAAGCACTTAATTCACACTAAAAGTGAGGTGTGCACTCACCTCCACCTGACTCTTCTTAATGTATCTCCAAAATATCTGAAAGGAATTTGTGTGTGGAAAAACAACAATGCAAAAGGAAAGTAATGAGGTGGAGGGAAATCAGGGTAGCTAGAAAATTTTCTTCTGTCCTACCTTTTCTTAGACTGCTTCTATTATAAAAAAGAGGGTTCCATATAGCAAATAAAAAAGTAATAGTAAAGAAAAATGAAATTATTTTCCCTCAGTTGTCAAACTAGCAAATTAAGGCACCATGTGCAACAGTGGCTTGAATTCTACTGGTTGTTACTACACTGTGTTTAGTCCCAACACTGACTGCAGTACAGCATCTATGGAAAAACTATGGATGTACTTCGACTTTTCTCCATTGGTATTTTTTCCCCCATTTGTGTCCCTCAGGGGCCCTGAGGGACAGTACAGCTTAATGTCTTTGCTAGTGACAGAGACAATGGAATGGAGGGCACCCTCTGTAAATTTGCAGACAGCACCGAGCTGAGATGTGCCTGAGGGACAAGAACCATCCAGAAGGACCTGGACAAACTTGAGAAAATGCTCGTGTGAATAGGGGCAATGGTTTTAGACTAAGAGAGGATTGATTCTATGTGTTCATAAGTTACTGCATTCTGGGAGGAGAAAAAAAAAAGACAAAAAACAAAGACAAGTGTCAATCTCATCTATTAATAGTTTAGGGAAAAAAAGGTCATTTGCACTTTGAAAATTATTAACCTGAGATTAATTAATTTTTGAAAACATGAGTCACAAGAAGAGCTAGTGATCATTCACACCCCTGGTCAGCACATTAACAAAATGTATAATTTCCTGGTCTGTATTTTTCTAAACTCCTCTAATTTCACACACAAGCATTGATCTAATATTTCTTATACCCAAACAAATGAGTTTAAAAAAGAATCTGAAGTTGCTTATTAATAACACTTCTGAGGATGGATAAAAAAAATCTAGACAGCCATTACTCTTTGCAAGGCTTAAGATAAATTGCTAACAACCAAGTCCTTATGAAATCAAAACCAAAATGAATTTCTCAGTTTTGAGCAATGAACAGAATTAGTTGCTAGGTGATGTCCTATTCTGTTGGTATCTTTCACAGAAATGTCATAAAACCCTCATCAGACATTTCTGGACAATTAATATGCAGATTAGCTGAAAACTGTTACCCCATGAGCCAGTAATAAATTTTCAGTCACTGCTTTCAGTCCAACAGAACCTACTTCAAAACAAATTTATTATTTGTATTTAACCTTGTTCCTCAAGGTTAACCTAATCCTTCAGTTGTAATTGAAGCATTTTGCAAGATAACATGAAGAAATTTTTGATGATTCATTTCAACATAAATAAAACAGGTGTTAATACTTTTAATTTGTAGCCTTGGTACTGTTATAAGTAAACCAATTACATTAAATAAAATTTTGCAGTGTCTGAAATCTTTCATCTTTACTGGGAATAAAGGGTTTTTTGCATCATACTTTATTCCTGTTTCATGGCTGCAGTATAACAGTTCCAGAAATCATAGAAATTTAATTAAAAGAATGCTGGAAACAGACTCTCCAGAACACACACCATTTTATGTCTTTGACCTAGTTAAACTGATTGGTGTATGAAGAAAAATAAGGCAAAAGATGATCCAAATAATTCTACGATTAGCATGGCAAAAACTACATGCTCTCAGGCTTCATGCTGAAGTGGAATAGGTTTCTCCACATGGTGAAGATAGATAACAGGTGACAAAATAGTAAACAAAAATTCTGATGAAAGAAAGGACTGTGCCTTGTCATAGGCCTGAGGAAAAAGTTAAGAGTGACAAGACAAAGAAAGAGAGAAGAGTCTGCAGAAAAAAAATGTAAGGAAAAAGATCTTTCTTGGGTAGATTTTGTAGGAAAGTTAAATTCAGGTTATCAGCCTACTTTATTCATACATGCATTCATTTCTGAAACACTCTTGTACTTAGCTTATGGTGTTTTAAAGGAGGCTATCCTGTAATCTATTATTGCTCCTAGCAAATGAAACAATTTAGAGCTCTTGATTGAATCAATCAGTAGTTTAGGAAACCACAGTGACCATTAGGAGAACCACAACCTATCAGAGTAGTTTACAAGTGATAGAATGATGTGATCATTCAGATGCTGCCTTGAGGTCTGAGACCTGGAAGGGAGCAAAGCCTAACAATTTGCACAAGTGACAAATGTATCAAGGTACAGTAAAGAGAAGAAACTCTTAGAATTCATTAATAGGAAATGGTCAAGAAATTCAGGCTGAAAACTTGAAAAAACAGGCCCCAGAAGACAGTATTTTTGCAGAAATGTAAAAACTCTGCATTAAATGGCCTAAGTTTCTGAAAAGAGTCCAGTGACTTACTGAAAATCAGCAGGAGTCAGCACCTAACACCAATTACAGCCAATAGTTTTACTGGAGTAACACCTACAGGGAAAACCATTTTAATGTATCAGGGTGACTCCCAGTAAGGGAAAACATTAAAAATTTGCAAATAAACTGAACCTGAGGAAACAATTACACACACTCATTTGCATTGCCATCCAGAATATAGCATTTCAATGCTCCTTATTCAATTCTCAATTTCAGGTCACCGATTCTTGTGCAAGCAGACATTAGCACAGACATAAAAATGCTGCTCTCAGAAGACAATTTCCAACTAAAATATGATGTAATGAAAAATGGTATTTAACAGTTAATCACTTCACCATTTTCCATTAAATGCATTTCACCTTGGTGAACCTTTCAAAATAACTTTGAAAATTACAGATTTGAAATGCAATTAGATCTTATTTGAAAGGATGGAAAGAATTATGTGAAAAGATTCAGTCTTTTAAATAGGATTAGTAAAAATATTGGCAAGAATGGCAGTTTAACATCCCATATTACAATCTCTGTGTTAGTTCAAATAACTTTCCCCCAAGAATCTGATTTACAGCATCTTTTGAATACTTTGCTTTGACCTTAATTGTTGGTGGGAAATTTCAAAGTATAGTTGGAAAGCATGTGATTTAGGGCAATAAACAATAAATCAATGCAACCTTAATTCTGAGTTACTTACAGTCCATAAGCAGAGTTTACAGCAAGACTGGTAATCTGTTGTGGAGGCTCACCATCCACCCACACCAACTGGATAACCAGATCTGCCTGGTAGCCAGGAGGCATCCGCACAGGTCGAGCCTTAACGCTAAGAAGAAGAGGTACAAAATAAGAACAAGCAAACAAACACTGGGCCACGAAAAACAACTGCTTTGCATCATTATTAATTGTAAACTTGAACAGAAAACCTAAAATACGTTATTTTGAGACTTTGAAAAAGGGCATTTCTGTGTATTTGGAACTTTTGCCTTATGAAGCAAAGCATGACAGAAAAACGTAAAGAGGCAAGAGAAGATGAGAAGATACACCTTTCTGCAGTGGTCCCCACCAGAGCATATTAAAAACTTATGGACTTGACAAATCTATCTGTCCATGTAGTGCAAACAAGTCCTGTTTTACTTCTAGGAGCATAATAACCTATTATGTGAATGAATGGTTCCTACACCAAATCTGATATAACTATTAACACCTGTTCCTACTGTGTTATGGTAAGTTCAGTGACTTGCAAAGCAGGTAGTGAAGGTGTACATTTTAAGGGAAAATGTAAGAGCTGAACACCTCTGTATGACTGCTTTATGTGCTTTTTTGGGTGGTACAACAATGTGGGATACGCTGGAAGAAATCATTATGCAATAATAGCAATACTTTGAGGTATTCATGTAAGTCATTAGTACATTCATGCTATAGTAGTATTTTACAGGTAAAACCCACTAGTCAGTGCATTTTCACTGTACCTGTTACTGGTGATAGTGCTTGTATTGCACCCCTTTGCACATAGGCATAAAATAGGGCAGTATACTTTATGAGAAAGTCATTCCTGATCTATCCTCTAAATGCATTTCTTTAACAGCAGCTTGGCACACTCACTGTTCTATTTCTTTTCCCTGTAGTACTCTTCAGACCTTACATGTGTCTGGAGCAGTAATCAGGCACTTGGTTTGGATATTGTTGTAGGAAAGACGTGACAGTGCAGTTCAGCAAGTGCTCAACCCACTACAGTTGGCAACAGTTTCGTATTGTTGTTTTCTATCAACAGCAAACCTCTGCTCAGAGTTTTGCAATTTCTGACCTGTTCTGCTGGCACTAAAAGCTTTGCCCTTTTCTTTGTTCATATGATACATAGCCATGAGGATTTTTGAAGCGATGCTATTCATAACCTTAAAGAAGCAAGCTCTGGATTACCCAGGAGTATTTGTGCTGAGAACAAAGGTGTGAACATCTGTGAACTCAAGCTGCCAAGGGAGAGGGGCCCTTTGAGACCAGGATAAACTGAAACTACAGGAGTTGTATACAGTAAAAATGTATTATTTTCAAAGAAACTTCACAGCAAGCAGAAGCTGAATATTTTACAAACAGTCTTTCAGAGTATCTTTGTGATGGAGCCCTTCAACTTCTAATATCTGCGGATAAGCCTTTAAGAGGCATAATAGGGGTGGTCTTTCCATCTGGTACCTAATTTTCAGCTTTCAGCTCCTGCCCTTAAAAATGTTAGAAAAATATAGACCAGGTAAATGAAATCCAAGAACCAGGACTTAGTCTAATGCCCTTTTAGGTGAGCTTTCCATCCATATTTTCTAATGGGTAACTAATGATGTGGCAGGACACAAGATGCAAGCATGCTGCTCCAACAAGTATCTGTCAAAGCAAGAATCTGTTTCCTTCTTCTAAAAAAGCTACCATGAGACTGACAATGGCTGAAGAAGTAATTCTGATCTTCTAAAACAAGCTTTTTAATGTGGTACTACTTTTCCAATGTGTTTTTAATGGCATCCTGAAAAATTAGAGAACTGCAAGTACATTCTAAGTTTTCTTTTGGATTGCTGTCACTTGAGGGGAAAAAAGCAAACACATTTCCCTCTAAATATTTTTCACTATAAATTTGAGGATCTGCTTTGATAAAAATGATTATTATTTCACAGGGATTTTCTCTAAGCATATAATAAACTGTAGGTGGTGAAAGACTATAATAATGGAGTAAAGTAATTTCAGATTTAATGATTCAGATTGTTGTTACCATGTTTCTGTGACATCTTACTCCTTAAGAATCTTTGAGCTTTTTCTCTTGTTTCCCTAAGCAACCTGCCTAAACAGTAATGCAGATATTCAGTTCTGCACCTTGTTTTGGATGGCTTTTTATCTGAAGTGTTTATAATAAAAGCCAAAACAGACTGCAGGAGTATGAGCAGAAGGAATGTAGACATTTCAGTGATTTCCTTGACACGTTCTTGTTATGCTACACTGAATTTCATTGTTGCAAAGTTTTGGTTTTTCGTTGTTTTCACAAGATATTCACAGTTCCTTATCACTTTGGAGTTACTTGAAGCTACTGTCAAAACCCCTGATTGACCCAATTTTGGGATGATACTAGAAGTCTGGGAACAAAGACTGACATTCTGGGTTCAGCTTTACGATAACAGCATTTACATCAAAAGTATTTATCTGCATAATCACAAATCCATTGGTTTCTTAGGTTATTACAGCTGCCTATTTCACTGCAAAATCTTCTGAAAGAAGCAAGAACAGTATTTATTCCATACTGCTGCCTGCCTCTCCTGGTAACAGTTACTTTTGATTTGAGAAAAGTCCCAAGTTTTCATTACTTCAGTCCCTTCAATTACTTTCTTCCTAGTAGCTATTCACAGACACAAACACATTCAGTCATTCTGACTTCTGGCTAGAAAAAATTGTGTACTGTGGAGTGCCATTCATTTGCTGTAAAAATGTTGAGAAACAGATATGAAAATAAACATAATGGAGCCAGTTATGTATGTGTGAAAATTTTTATGTGCATTATCAATACAGTTCAAGCTGTGCACTCACCCTCCATGTGCAGCTGGTTGCAGCTTTACATTGATGTTGTTCTATTTTAGATTCTATCCTGCTGCCCACCTGAATGACTTGCATATAAAGTCAACAGCATCACCCTGGTCTTTTCTGGCTTTTTCCAGTGTTTTCAGCACTACTTTCATTTTACCACCATAATTCTGTTTAGATCAGAAGTTCTTACATAGACAAGGTCTGTGGACCCAGCCAAGGTTTGGGGGGAAAGTGCAGATATTTGTATGTCTTTCCTGAGAAGGATAATAGCATTCATAAGTATATTTTTATCTAAATGTAGGAGTGTGCCAGCAGTTCTAGTGGTATAATTACTCTGACTTTGAAAAATCACTTCTCAGTCAAAATAAGACTACAGTTACCTTGTCTAAAATTTGACAAAAATCTATTGGCCAGCTTAATCTGAGATTATTGGAGATAAGAAAACTTCTAAAAAGTAGCAGGCTGAACCTCTGTGGGTTCATTACAACTTTTCTGCCTCCAATGTCGACAATTCCTCTCTTTCACAGACAAAATCAAGTAAGAATCTCTTAAGCAAAACTCTTAGCCAGTGAAATGATTAAATGATTGCATTCTTCCTGATATCAATGTCATAAATAGATTTCACATTTGGATTTTTTAAATAACTAATCTCTGCCTCTTCTGTTGATTTTCATACTTCAAATTAATGATTAAACTGAGGTCTGAAGTTCAACTGCCTGACTGAATGAGATGGACAAATGAACAGAATGCCAAAAAATACTGTTAATTTTTCAGGGACAATATCACAATATTGCTTTTAAATGCTAATGCCATTTTCAGGAGCCAAGCAGCCCAAAGTAGCAAAGCAGGAAATGTTCATTTTAACTGCTTTTGAAATAATTGAGGCATTTAAAAGATTTAATAATAATTAGACCAAAATAATAATGAGAGCAATCCTTGTCAGCAATGCACTCTAATTGCTGGAAAATTACAGTTTTTATAGAGTTTTGTACAGAATTACTGTTTTAAGCTATTCAAATCCATAATTATCTGCCTTAATAATAAGAACATATTGATGTACTCCAAAACAGTGACAATGTATTCTAGCAGAAAACAATCTGCTTTTTTCCTAAAGATTAAACAAATATACACTTCTATGCTATGCGATTGTTTTATGGTAATACATTTTGAAGAATGTTTCATAAGTATGAACACAGTTTCCATGTCTTACACACCATAAAATGCATACAGTTCTTAAATTTAAAAAAATCCAGTAGTATATTAATTAATCAAGGAGAGAAAGCTTTGCACATGCCTGCTTTTACAGAAGTTTCTTCATGAACTACCCTCAGAAATTCCTTGCAGATGTACTCCTAGATCACCTTGGAAAATGACAGTCAAACCTTCACTCTAACAGTTTATATTCTTCAAAATTACTTCTATCGTTTTACAATCCCTTGTTGATTATTTTGCCTTAATTATTTTGTTTGTTCCAAATTCTGGTTTCTTCTTTGTGTCAAATATAGACAATTAATCTCTTTTTCTTGGGAGTTGATGGATTGACTAACAGATAAGAATGATTTTTATAAAGATCGATATTTAAACAATGGCATAAACTTACCTAAGACATGGGATACTGTCCTTCATTGTTCCTTCACATGCTACAGTGTTGGTACTGCCTGAAAGGCTCTTTAAAGAAGGAAGCTGGGAGGAGGCATCTGGGAATGGAGGATTTGTTTCTGGTTCAGGAGTAATGATGTCTTCTACTTCGCACTGAAGTCGTACCTCTAATGACTTAAATAAATAAAAAAGCTAAGTTATCATTTTATAAGGAAAGCTGCTGAAAGTTCTGTTACTTTCAAATAAATATCAATATGCCTTTTTTTTTCTTTAAATAACCCTCATTTATCATTATAATTTGCAGGCAAAGAATACTGTCATTTGTTATTTATACAGAGTAACAGCATCAGATAGGAACTAGAAGGATCACCAACTCTGCCACCTGATTACTTGTACAGCAGAGTCTCTAAGAGACAAGTTTTATCCAGGGTGGATAAGCCTGACAGTGTGAATAGTACATAAACTTCATTTATCCATAGGTGGGGCCAGGAAATCAGAGATTACAGCGCAGACAGCTCTGTGTTCCTTAGAATGAACATAAGTTTAGTGGATTTTAGAAAGCAAAATTCAAACCAGTTACTTTTTGCTTTCCTTCTGGCCTCTCTAGAAAGGGAAGAAGACGCCAAACCACCCTACAATTCTCTCTACTAATTCAGGAAATATTAACTGAGGACTGCAGGGAGGCACTGGACAGGAAGTTCAAATCTAGGTAAGTAAATACTGAACAATTCTTTCTACCTCATGAGTTGTCCAAGGAAATCTGCATTTTGAAAGAATAAAAAACAAGGCACAGCTCTCAGAGACAAGGTCTGGGGGTTACTAGCTGAACAGTAATTTCAGTGCTGCTACCTTCAAAAGAATAGAAGTAATTGCAGAGGTAGACACTACAAGCTCAATCTTCGTGATCTTTCACTGAGACGTCATCTGTACCAGAATGAAGATTAACAAAATAGCTAAATTTCATTACCTATTTTGGGAGAATTGGGAGATAAAGGTGAGTAGTACTGAAGGGGTCACCTGTTTCTCAACCATTGTGCTAAAACACAAAAGATTTCAGAAAGAAGAGATTCTGTTCAACCAGGAGAGAGACTCCTTTCTCAAAGTTTCCCTTTTTTCTCCTTTCAAAATCCATGGATATTTTGTGCCTGAATCTTTTAAAGAAACGTACAAACAACATTTGCCTTCAAAGACTAATGAGTGAAATATTGAGTTCAGGAAAATCTAATCTGGAAGTAAATGCAGCTGACTGAAACAATTTATAATGCTGTTTAATCTTTATGCAGGACTGGAGTAACTCTTGAAGAGTATGTTCTTCTGCTTACCATGTCAGAAGTGCATCACTCTTCTTTGAATGTTTTTTCTGCATGTATTTCTTTTTCTACTAAAGTTAATTTTGTTAAGTTCTAGCTGTTGTGCATTTGAAAAGAGAAGGAAAAATTCAGGCCAAAAACATGACTGTAAATTTGTCTTCTGTTTTTGTCCCTGCTTTGGCTGGACCTTAGGAGGGTTATAGAAATCTTGAACTGATTTATTTTGACACAGAGTAAAGATATTTTTGGGGGATCTCATCACTGGGCTTATTGATTGATTCCCCTTTCCACATTCAAATGAATGTAAACTTCTTTCCTATGTTTCTTCTCAAGAGATTTGAAGAGGAGCTTCACTGAGGAAAGACTGCTCACTGAGAAAGTGATCATGTTTAATTAATAGATCCTTTTGAGACAGGATGGAGTGGATTCAGATAAGAAAACAAAAATAACAGCAGTAAATGCTTTTTATATAACTGCATGGCAATGACTCCAAGGTTGGATATGAAGCAGAATTTGTCACATGCATACTCCTTGCCTCCAGAATCTGATATGAAATGATGCAAATAATACTTGTGTTGAAGAAATTCCAGGCACAGCCTATGCCCCTGAGGCATATTCAGCTGGAGACTTCCCTACTACACAGAGCAACCTTTGAGTAGCCCCCACACTTCCCATTTGCCACAGCAAAAACATTACAACACTGACATCAGGGCAGTCAAACCAATGTGGGGGCCTTAAAATACTGGGATTTGGAGACTGAACTCAAGGTAAATTCAGCCTGACTGATAAGGAAGGGAGGACACAAAGTGCTTTGTGCCTCAGGCAGCAAAGAAATCCTGAGATTGGCCAGCTCAGTCTCAATACAGACAAAACCACACAGCCTGAAGTCAAGTACAGATTCCAACAAAGAATTCCATACTTTTGATTAAAAATCCCTCCCATCATTTAGAGCGAAGACTTGAATGCAAGCAGCAAAAATGCAGAAAGAAAAGAGAAGGCCATTTCAGAGATGCACAAAACCCAGGGGAATTCTGTGAGTATGCCACCAAGATTGCATAATTTAATATTCAGGGAAAAATGCTTATTAATTACAGAAGAAATCTAAGAAAATGTTAAATTGCACCTATTATAACACTTTGGAAAATACCAGTAATGATGCAATTCAGCCAGAGAAGTGAACAACAGGGAAAAAAGACATTAAATTATAGATAATAAAAGATAAGGTGCATTTTCTGTAGAACAATGTAAAAATACTGAAATGGAGTAATTTTAGCAGCATTATACATGAGCTGGTCAGTAATGTGAAATTACTGTTCATCAGTTTTAAACCTTTCCTGAAATGATACATTCAGGCAGCTTAATAATTGCCTGGGGGGGGGGGGGGGGGAGGAGAAAAGAGTGGAAAACAGAAGAACTACAGCTAATGAATATCATAACTACAGTTATGAATATGCCATACAGAATGGCACATGGCTGGAGGCCAAAAATAACACAGTAACAGGTTTTTTGCCACAGTAGAACTTTCTAAAGAGCATTAAAATAGTGTGAAAAGGAAAAGAACTATAATCAGGGAAGATAACAAGTAATCTGGCATTTCATATAGTTTCCATCTTTAGGGAAACAACGTCAGCATAAGCCAGAAAAATATCAACTCTTTTGTTGATATTTTGTTAAAGCCACTGATAATTTTCAGTCTCCTTATGAACAGAAATTAAAGAGATTAAATACTTGAGTTAAAAAGAGCATTGTGCACATACACAATGTACATTAACTGATAAAAACATACAGCAGACAGTAATTTTAGACCAGATAAATGCAACAGAGATTAGTGTATCACCAAGTCTTAAAAGCAAACTATGTCTGAAAGCTGCACTGTATGTGCAGTATGTATTTTACTAAAGCAAAAAGAAAGTGGAGAGTAGGTTCCCAAACCCTCAGCTTTTTGTCAGTAACTGACATAGGATCAAGATTTCCCTGGAAAGGTTTAAAATGGAATGTCCCTAAACCTGTATTTATAGTGATTGCTGTTTCTATTTAAGTACTTGAGCACAGATGAAGCAAGGCAAATTGATTTAGAAATTGTTCTCTTATTAGAGAGTGAAATGAGTACTTACTGCAATTTCAGTATTTACTTCATGTTTGCTGAACCTGTAAACAATCACATAGGCAGAAACTCCTGCCACACAGAAAATTCGGCTTTCAGGACACCAGTACATCATCTGAACAGCAAAAGGATCTTCTTCCACAATCTCAGCTGTTGCTTTTCCTTCTCCCACTTTCTGTTTTTCAAAGACCTTTGATGTTTTTAGTTTGTACAACATCTGTAGAGTAACTGGAATATATTAAAACATATAAAAATACTAACATGAAGCAAATCAGTTATAAAATTCCTCAGTTCCCACCTTCTTCTCAGTTGTGGCATAACAAGGAATTTTAAGAAAGCCTAAGAGGAGAAGATATGTATTATACAATTGTCCAAACTAGGACAACAATACAGATACTGTTCTGGTACACATTACTGGTAGGATATGCATTTAATACTTCTCAGAAGGGTATTTGTCTGTGCAATATTCTTAGTACTTTCTGGGGAAGGGTGTCAAAGGTGTAAATCATTGTGTTCATAATTAGGCTTATAATGAGTGCTATAGAGAGGCTCTGATCATATTGATACTTTCTAAAGAGAGGTGAAACTAAGATTTCATCTGTCTGAGGTTATGGTCTTGATAGAATGTAAAGAGTGTATGGCAATTCAAGAAAAAACATTAGGAAAGCATGCTGGTGGCCTGGTCAAGACAAAATTCTTCTGAATTAATGGGAGTTCAAAAAATTTTTTAATTTCTTGACTAATATATAGCTCTATATTTATACCTGTATATAAAATCCTAGTGTCCAGAAGCTTTTGTCGAGACTAGAACTCCACTGCAGCAAATTCCAGAAGTAAAATGAGGGGTGACAATTCACCCCATTATATTTCACATTCTTCCCTGTTTTTACTACTTTTACATTGGTTTCTCAGTGGCATTAATCAGTAACTGCATTATGTCAGAGAAAGCCAGCCAAGCTCAGCATCTATAAAGGTGTGCATATCCACAAAGGCAAAGCTGCTGCCTACGTCAGTGTAATTGTGGTAGCTCAGCCTGGCCAGCTTGTGTAACAAGAGCAATAGGAAGATGAAAGGACAGTGTTTTAGTTATGTAACCAGATGATGAACACAGCAAAATTACATTTTTGTTTGGCAGTGCAGATATAGTCCAGGAGGTTTAGCATATACAGTTTTTAATGTTTTAAAAAGTTTTCGCACATAAAGCACTTCTGATTTCACGAATTACAGTAAGGGCTTCTGTAATAAATACATAATTCTTCCTGCCCTCAGTGGCAAATAAAGAGGATTCAGGTTGCCAGTTAGTGCCAGTAGCAAATCTAGAGCGGCACTTCAAATCAGGCATCATGGGTCCATGCACATTATGACTGAAAGAATTATAGAATCAAAGGGTACAGAGTACAAGACAAGACTCTCTATGCTCTATTACTGGGTACCATCTGCACAAGTAAATAAAAAACCAGCAATATCTTTTGAATAAAGATGCATTTTGGAAACAGCTCCAGTGGCCTAGCAAGTCCTTGTCTCTCACAGATCTGTGCTTTCAGACACAAGACTACACAATTAAAATATGTCTAAAAGCAAAGTATTTTGTGCCTTCAAATACCGGTAGGATATTATGTTTGCTAGGGAATCTCGAATGAACTCTGAACTCCATGAAAAAGTTGAACACCTTGTAAATAAAATAAATAACAAAACTTTGTAATAATCAAAACCTTGTAAATAAAGAGTACCAAGTGCGGTAGGAGTAACATAGTGCATGCCCTGAAAATCAGGACATCAGAGATGCACTGAAAATACCAGCACTGTTGAAGAGATTGTGAATATTCATGATCATCTAAGCTTTTAATGTTAAGAAAAATTCCTACTGCAGCATGTATATATTGATTAGGTTATGCTTATATTCCCTATGAGAGGTTTTTCTTCTTTCCCCATTTCTGCCAGAGTTCTAGAAGGAATAACTAGCACACTGCTTCCTGTGCAGTACACACACTAAATGCCTTGGGGTCTTCCCACAGTCTGCATTGTTTTCACCCTAACTTTAGAGTCTGTATTTGCACATTCTTCTTAAAACTGAAATATTCACAAGACAAAGTCTAATGTCTCACCATACTTCTCTAAATAAAACTAATTATCCTACTTTTGTTCATATCAAAGCCCTCAAAAACTTCTGTTTCATCAGATAAACTGTTGACCTCATTTGATGATTGGTGTTCACCATAACTTGAAGACAGAGGAAGATGTAAATTCTGAGCACAATGTTTCTGTTCTCCCACCATTTCCAAACAGACAAATTACATAATAAAAAAAACCAACCTATGGCCATGTTCAGTTCCTGTGCCTATTTAATACGTGAAATGTATTTTGTGAAATGAGGCTTTGAAAATCCTCATTTTGTCCTTGTCCATCCTGAGTGAAAATATTTGGTATTAAGCAAAAAGGTAAGTACCTGACAAAGTAATCAGGTTTAGCTGACATTAAAAACTTGTCAACATTCCCCATGCTTCGTTGGTAATGGTAGCAATATTAATAATTTCAATTCTGTGGCACCATGTGGAACTAGCAGGTATTTTAAGTACCCCATACTCCATGATCTTGGCACCCATTACAGACTGGTTATTAGGGTCATATTAAATCTCTCTATGCCTAACATTTCATCCAGAATTTTCTCTCATACTCTTTCTTCTTTAAAACACTAATACCTCATAAAAGAGAGATATTACCCAGACATACCTGTACTATCAAAGAGACAAGAATACAAGGCAACTCTACAGGAACTTTGGTGAAGTACTGTCAATTATCTGAAGCAGAATATTTTCAATTTCCATCAAAATGTATGTGTATTTTAATAAACATATTTTACTAATGAATACCATATGTATTTTCTGTAGGGGAAAATACTGGTTGCTGATATGTGCAGTTTTAGTCAGATTATATGGAACAAGTATTTTCTGAAGCTTTTTCCTGCTAGGATGAATGGAAATGCTTCCCAATTATTTCCTGGGATTTGAGACTGGACAAGAAATGGTTTCAGTATTTTCCACCCTCACCAGATTAAATGTTTTGAAATATATGAATGTACTTCAATATTTCATTTTTACTTAGCTATAAAGAAGACTTTGCTGTACTCAATATAGAAGTGACATGACAACTGGAACTGAATGTTAGATCTAACTGAGCCCTCTCCTCTATACACACAAGAATGTGCCCTAGGGATTTTTTACCAACACTTCATCCTTCATAGATTTTGGTATGCTGGACCTTGAGTTATTATTCCTCACTCTTTTCTGCCTAATATATCTCATTAGCAACATTTTTTCTCTTAACTTATTAAACATTTTCTGAATTTCACCCCTTTGACCTAATTATATCAGCCCAGCTATCACTACTCAACCTGTTAAATATCCTGTTTTATATATAAATGTGTGTTTGTGGAATTTATCAGCATTATGTAAAAGTGAACTTTAGAAACTTACTGGCAGAAGCATCCCAAAATTTTACTGATCCATCTGCATGGCTTAAAAAAATATAAAAATTAAATGTGTTAAAACAAGATGCAATTCTAGAACATTATCTACTTTCAGTGACTAATAAAAACAATCAGAAAAAAAAATTCTTTATGTAACTCTCTATAACTTACTGACAATATATTAAAGACATAAGTACAAACTAGAAGAAAATATTTTGCTATTTGGTTTCATTTGGTTAACAACATATTTTTATGCATTTCCTGCAGAGAACTAAGCCCCCAATAAATTTTAAGATTGAAACAAGAAGAAATTAATTCCCATACTAATAAAAAGTTTAAGTCACAGCACTTTTGGCTTTGCAGTGGGCCAGCAAAACCTATGCACTCAAAATTGCCATGTACAGTGAACTTTGAAAGGACAGAAGGTGCTTTCATTCTGCTTGATACTTCACAACTGTGCTCCTTTTATTAACATAAAATTGCTGAAGCAAAGCTGGAAAAAGGAGACACTTCTGTTTACAATGAGAATGATCCCTTCATCACCTTCTCATACTACTGCATACATCATAACTTTATGTTTAAAATCAAATCTTTAGTATAATTGATAATAACAATTCATCAAATACATGATTGAGACTAGAGAAAAACTCATTGTGCATCTTAGCTCAATGAATAGTGTCTGTTTTACAGTGTGATCCCTTGGGAATCCACCAGGCACTGCTCATGGGGCTCCTACTACAATCTGAGCCTTTCTAGGCCTTTTTGCTCTGTTTCTCTGCCCACAAGGTGAAATTCATCCCAGTGTACCACACCCTCACTGATGCTGAGTATTAAAATGAATTGCCAAACTGTCCCCAGACAGAGTCCTGAGAGCCAGGGGACAACAGCTGCTCTCCTTTTTGAAGCTATTCTCTGTGACCTTCAAGGCCAAAATATTCTCTTGCAAGAGATTTTTTTTTTCCAAAGACCTCACCTTCACAAGCATTGCTATCTAACACTGGGAGCTCAAATGGTCATTCTTAATTGTAGCTCAACCCTGAGTACTAAGCTCTGCTTTCTAGAGCAAATGAGAATTTCTGTGGTGACACTACTCAAGAGAAGAGCCAGGAAATGCAAAAGTGGTGAAGTCTCAACTCTTACATATAGGTAACCCACAATCAAAAGGAGTAGACACAAATAGTTTAAAAGCACCAATCCCCAGTTTCATTCTCACCCTGTAATAATGATTTCAGGATATGTCTGAGCTCCAAGGTTCCATGCTCCACCACTGATAGGCCACTCCTAAACAAACAAAAGTGCAGAGATCACAACTTATTCTGATGAACCTTGCTTGGCTACTTTTTAAATTCAGGAGTAGACAACATCTTCCCCCCAAAAAACCACTATAACTTGTAAAAGAACAAAAATATGTATAATTCAAGGCTTTTACAGTTTATTAACATTTTTGTGTCATCAGTTCAGGCTTTGGAAACTTAATAACCCTTTTATATTATCAACTAATGTTCTATGCTTTAAAAATATTTCCACACAGCTAACATTCAACAACCTAAACCAGGAATGAGAAGGAAGAATAACAAACAATTCTGCTGGTCTTTTGAGAATGGCTTTTCTCTTGGAGATTCCATACAACACTGAATAGACCGAGAATTTATTTTGAATACAAAGACCACTGAAGAAGCTGGGCCAGAAACAAGTATCAGAGCATGATGCCATGAGATAAGAGATTGCAACTTTTACAGAAGATATGAGATCATCATCTCTTCCTTGCCCTTTGTTTACTAATGGTCTAGAATGCTGCCCTGTGCCTAAAGCCCTGACATGTATGGATCCAGGATGCAGAGGGTGACACATGTGCAGAGTGGGTCAGGACATGTGCAGAGTATGAGTGGGTGGAGAAAAACCAGGAGCACAAACTGTTTGTGTGGATACATGGAATGGATGCTAGTGGCTACAGAAATGGGTACATGGGTCTGGCACATGAGTTACCACCTGCTTTCAGAGTGCATTTGTACATGCACAAATAAAGCAAGGAGGCAAAAGAGGATGCAGAGAATACAGGCAGGCATGCAAAGTGTATGAGGTAAGGGTAGATTCAAACAGAAGAAGTAAAAATATTTTCTGGAGTACTTTTGTGAACCAAGATGCAAAAGAAGTAGAGAGAGCTCACTTTTTGAGTTAATGGAAAACAACCCAGCTCCAAGGAGAATACTTCCGTTGATTTGAATAGAAAATTGATGATGTCTGGCTTGCTTACCCAGTATTTTTTTCTAGTTTATTTATTAAAATGCATTAGTTCTAGCCAAAATACAAACCAGTTAAAAGCTTGAAATTTATAAATTAATTGCATTTCCTCTTTTACTTCCTGAAGTTTGTCCTATTTCTAGAGCATTATGGTAAGACTTTGGTAGCTCAGTAAAATTATTATTATTATTATCCCTATTTAATAACAAATCTCACAGACATTGTCATCTCTCACTGAACATCTGCTTAAGTCTTCCAATTATAATGCTTTCACTTTTTTCTCTGATAAAGAGAACCTATCCATACAAATTTGAATTGTACACTGCTAGCTCGCCTTTAACACAATCTGGCCTGGAATAACTCCAGCATCTTAATGATTAAGTCCTATCTAATGATAATTAATTGTTCTGCTTAAATGGTCATGTTTCTGAGGGACAAATACTTAGCAGCCTGTAATCAGGCTGCTAAGCTGCTGGCTGGACTAACCTTAAAATAATTATTAAAGGAGTAAAACAAAAATAATATGGTAAGAGGTTATAAATACATAGGTTACACATCTACTTCCTTTGCTTAAAAACAAGAATATTTGTTTTGTTTACCTTATTGCTGTATCCTTGCTTTTTATGTTTTGCTCCTACAGAATAGAGTACAGGGATCAAATCTGGAGGACAGTCCGCAAAATATTCTGTGCAGGTAACAGGTGACTCATGAATGTCAATAGGATATGGATTTTCAAAGATTGGAAAACTAGTTAAGGAAGACAATTTATTAGAAGCACTGTGACACACTGAGCCATAGAATAAAACATATTCTTATATTAAAGTATATAACAGAATCTAAGTTAAATTACTACTAATTAAATATATTTTCCCTTATTTATTCAAACTTATGTATTATTTTTAATATCAGTAATAACGTGTAGTTACTCAAATAAAGACATAAAAATTCAACAAGTCAAGAATCCTACATAAATAGTCCCTATGGCTAAAAGGGCTACCTTTATGAATGAACAAGAACTAATTTTTTTCTGACATCTCAAAATCTTATTATACAGAAGTGACAAATTTTCCAGAATTTTCAGGTTCATGGATATGATATATAGTATGAACTACAAACTACTTTTACAAGTGTGGATTTTATATTGAACATCTTAGCTTGGGTTGGTAGACTTCTGATTATACAATGAAAAATTGCAGTAACAGATGAGTAGATCTCAGTTTATTTCTCACTTTCATCAGTTTGAACAGCCTGATAAGGAGGAAAACCTCACTTTTCACACATTATACAATGCTATTCACAATTGAAAAACATTGGAAATTGGGTTCTGATTTCAGTTATGTCCATTTTATACTGCTGAGATGATCTGAATTATTCTTTAAAGTAAGTGAGATCTGAATATGATTCACTTAACATTTTCCAATCCATTGACAGCAAAATCTGTTCCTTGTTACACCAGTGTGAATGTGGATGTCCTTTACTGGTAGTGTTGGAGGCAGAACAAAATAAATAATTGGATTATGCTTTACATGATGCAGAGTTCCTCTTTGATAGGAACATTGATTCTGATATGAAAGAACTATTTGTCATTTAAACCAGCAACTGGATCATAAAGTAATTCTGTAGATCCATATAAAACGATGCCATTATTTATTAAGAGACTGAGGCTAGACATGCATAAAAGTAGTTGTTGATCTTATTTCCAAGCCACATATGTGTTCAAATATTATTTAACTTTGGTGTTGAATAAATGTTTGAGGGCTGTGCTGAAAGGACTGCAGATTTAGATGTATTCCAAAGTTTAAGAACAAATATTATCATAAGTTCCTGTTCATTAGATGAACTTAGCTCTTAAAGTGGAAGTAAATATTTAGCAAGAGTTATTTATAAGAGTGAAATATATGATTTTGGATAGTTAAATGATTTTGAATTTTATGGTAATTTACTGGACAGTTAAACACACAAATAACTTCATCTAAACCTTTTATACTTACTTGGTTTGTGTCAGGTCAACAACAATGAGATCTTTTTCCAAAAGCACAACTACAGCATAGGGCTCTTGAAATTCTGTAAGCAAGGAATCAAGTATAAAAGACATGGAGTTCTCCTATCAGCCATTTGAAGCAAGCAAGCAAGCAAGCAATATTTATGTTCTTTACATTTTCACAGTATATTAGAAGCTTTGAGGTATAAACCCTTAACATATGCACAAACCAGCCAGAGCTGGAAACTAGGGCCAGAGAGGAAGTAGGAAATTACTTTTGGATAGTACTGCTGGCAAACATACAAAGCAGCAGAAGAATTGGAGTATTATAGACTGCCAGCATGATGCTATGTTGAAAGTAAAGAAGTAGAATATGAATAAGTTCTGTGTATCATTGCATTATTGAATCCAATTGTTACACAGAAAAAGTATTTTTGCTGTCCAAAAGTAATACTTCTACTGCGTACAACTGCTTTTCAGAAATAGACTGTGCAGGACACTTCCTGATACACAATGCCCCCATTTCTGAGGTGACTCAAGAAGAATATTCCCTAGGAATCCTGTTAGTCTGCTGTTTTCAATTCAGGTAATAACATGCCCCTTCCTCCTGCACACTCTTTAGGGGATTATATGGTTTGGTTTTTTATACAATTCTCTTTTTATTTATCAAAATTAAAGAATTAAGATGACGAATAAATGCTTCCCTTGATGCATAGAGTATATTCATTTACATACTTTTTATAATTTACATTTTTTATAAAAAAATATAAATGTGAAATTATGACTTTTCAACAGCAGCAAATCATTCCAGCACGTGCAAGCTCAGAATAAACTGTTCAGATGGGTGATGCCAAAAGGACGAGTAAATGAGAGCAACTGATTCATCTTCCTTTCAGTCCTGCTATGAATGCACATTATTTTTTGCCTGTTTTTATACTGGGCTATGAATAACACAAGTTAAACCAAAATGTTCAAATATTGGTCTGTGAGCAGGGGAAGATGCTATAAGACCTAAGGACAGGGACGTATTTGACAAAGTTAAATGAAGGCCCAAAGCAACTCTGATTACGGAAAATTAAATTTTTGCATTATATTGAAGCACATATACACTTTACTAAATGTTTTTAATATGTATTTGGTTTAGCTATGTATATAAGATTTATTTTACTTTTCTGCTTGAGGGCTTAAAATGGTAAAGTTAGTTCCTTTTTGACTTACAGCTTTTCTTAATTTATTTTCTAGAACTTTCTGACAAAATATTTCAGAACTTGGCAGCCCCACAGTATGCAGCAAACATAACACTTTTTAACAGTTAATTTCATGCTGAAGTGTAAGAATTTTTTTGCAGGTAAGTGATAGTTAATTTTTTATAATTTAGCGAGCTGTAAATGATGAAAAATTTCACAAATATGAGCACCTATCTTTGATTAATAGCAATATTTTCTCACAGTAGCCCATGGGTTTCAATCCTATACTTGGGAGATTTATGCACGCTTTATTGTCCATTCACTACTCACTTGAGAAATTCAAACAACTTCCCAGTACTTTCGGTTATGTAGTTTTCTTGAGATGAAAACAAATATTACAATGGAAGTCCCTGGAATGGGATTAATGTATGAGGAAAGGTCCCTTTGTTTACATTTTCCATAATTGTATTATTCCAAATAAACTCACCATTTGGATATGGGGTTTCACAAAGAGTTAAAAAATCAACTATAGGATGATCCATTTCAAGAACTGTAATTGCTTTCCCATGCATGATTGTTAAACTTGGTCTTCGACAAGGTTTATCATATGACAATCCACCAGAAAATACCACAAATGGTTCACTGTATTAAAAAAAATAGATGTAAGTCTACATAGTACATACAAGTTTACATTATAGGTTTAGTATCTGCAAAAATTAATAAATAGGTTTGTTAAAAGAAAGCAGGAAAAGATTCTAAAAGGACTTAAACTCCAGAATGTAATATTGACTTAATTACAGAATTAAAAACAAACCTGTTTTTACAGGTCTTGTACTCTACTTTAAGAATTGGTTTACAAGATTCAGGTTTTTTTCCATCTCTTTGAACTTTTCCTAAGGAAAGAAAGAACATGGAAACTATTAAAACATGAAATTCAATGATCAAACTAAAATATATATATTGAAACAACTGTATAAGAAACAAAAAAAGGAACTTTAAAGCTACAAAAGATTAGAAGTATTAGCTCCTATTTCCATAGAATATGCATTTGTCTAAATTAATTACATTTATTATGTCTTTGTGTTTTTACTACCACATCTAAAGAACCACAGAACACACTTCAAAGACATCTATAAAGCATGCAGATTTCTGAGTATGAATCTTAAATAATAATGAATGAATCATACTAATTATATGCCTTTTTTTCTGAACACATAATGACCATAAACAGCTTCATTTTTTCCTAAGACATTCTTAGATTGACATAATTCCTGTTGTTGACAAAACATTACACGCTTTGGAGTGTACCTAGTTGAGAGATAAAATTAAATGAAGCATACAACTGAAATTCATTAGTTCTTAGTTAATTATGGCTCAGTACTTTCTTCCAATCAGAGAAAAGTCACTTGCAAACTAAAAAAATATCCATTTTGAGTTTGTGCTTTGGAAAGTCTGTGCTTGCTTTGACAACAGCCTGACTGGAGGATACAGTGTAGATGGATCCAGACTTTTCTCAGAGGTGCTCAGTGCTATCATGGGAGGTACAGGACATAAGCTGTGCCATGGAAAATTCTGGTTAGATATTAACAAAAAAATTGTGCCACACGGGTCATTAAATATCAAAAGATATTGCCCAAAGAGGTTGTGCAATTTTTTGCTGGAAGTGTTCAAGTGCCCAATGTCCTGAGTTTACTCATCAAATCAGGCCTTTTTGATCTGGTCATCTGACTGGCTGAGAGTTCCCTTCTGACATTATAGAATTATGACTAAAAATGATAAAACAGAGGTAAATTAAGAAAATGCTAAATCCTTTTGAGCCTACTTAGATCTTGACTTATTCTCCTTTCTCCCTCTTTACCCAGTCAGATTTTTCAGTAAAGTAAATGTAAATGTATACATTTACAATGGTGTCAGTACTTTTAAAAAACCTAATTTGTTTGAAGCAAATTTATATAATGCCCTACACATAAAGATAAACCCATCTCTTACTATGGCTCCTTTAAATTCTTCATTGCAGTTCTTTGGGAAGCCTTGTACCATCCCCAAGACAAATACCACAGTACCTTGTACAAAACGCATTAATTTGTTGTGAAAATTGCACATAAAAGTACAAACTATAAAAGAAAGAAAGAGCCTGAGGGTCTCACAATCCAGCAGTAGACTCTAAAATGGAATTGGATAAGACATTAGAGTAAAAAAAATCAGAAAGAGGTATTTATGACACCAATTACAATAAAAAGTTTGATCTAAGTTACTGATTTTACAATAATTTGCAGATACTTTGTGGATCAAAATATTTATGCAAGAAGCAACATCTGGGCTACAAGGAAAAATTAAATAAACATACATATCAGCAAGCAGCACTGAGAACACTGTTTTGCTTCTTAGTTACACATTTTAACTATCAGAATTACCGTGTGGAATTGTGGTCTGGAATGGTCTGTTAGGGCTTTTCAGATTCCATAGGGTCAAGCTGCCATCAGAGTGACTACACATAAACTGCTTCCCTTCATGATGCCAAGCAACAGAATGAATAGCCTACAGAAATGAAAGAAGAACTTGAGAGTGGAATACAGTGTTTACACTACTGATAGTTTCATGTATGACTTTAGATTATATTGTTCTAATGGTATATCAAGAGTTGGACAGCTCCTGTTTGTCTGAATTCCATTACCATCACTTTTACCAACAGATGGCTGTAATCCACATTTCATCATAAAGGCTAATGTAGCACAGTAATGTAAGAAAGCCTGTACTGAATCAGGCCAAAACTGAAGGAAAAGGGTTAGGGTTAGGTCCCAAATTTTCTCTCTGTTAGATTATGTCTAGCATTCAGATCCACTTCTTTAGCATCCAAACACAAAGGAGCAGTTATTTGCTTAGAACAGGAGTTCCTCATGGTGGGTGGCTCATGTGAATGTTCACAGAGTGTAAGCACATAAAGCATCTCACTCCAGATTAGGTATGTTTCTCTTTCTGCAAAACCCACAGCGGTTGTATACACATTCCATCTTCTCTCATACTCAGCTTGTACTAAAATTAAGCATGCCTAACACCATTTCAGTTCCTTCCTAACCACAAACCCTCACCACTGACGGTCTGTAGTACCACTTTTAACCATATTTTGGAATGAGCAATACTTGTCTCATCTTACTATTTAAATGCTAAAAATTATTTGTGTTCATAGTACTGCAGGACCATTAAAGCAAGGGCCACATCCAATTTGATACTTCCATAGTGGCACAGTGCTAGACAAAGATAGGGAGTTGTAATTTGGCATATGCCTCTGAGAACTCTGCATCTTCATTTTGGGATGTGTTCCAGTGAAAGATGACAACTCCTTCAGACAGCTCTGAATGGGGGTTGATGCAAACTTCTAAAGCCTGCACAGGAAGATGGCTGGATTTTGGGTTTGCCAACTATCAGTAACAACTTGAGAACCATTTGAAAGATCTGTCTTGTTTATGTGCTGTCTTTTTATACCACTTGATGGAAATAAACTTTTGCAGGAAATTATAAAAGAGCTTGGAAGGAAAGCCTTTTATAGAAGGCAATGTGTAGGAGCATTGATTGGAAGGACCTCAATATCTCATGCATATCACCACTGAGAAGATGAAAATCATAATGATAGTAAGAAAAGTGAGGGTGAATTAATTTAATTCAGAACTCATGCAAAGAGGCACTTTTGTACTCAATGAAGATACAGAACACTTACAGGAATTTATCTGAGACTTAACAGATAGCCTGCAACTGGAACTGTTCTGGATCAGTGCCAGAGAGATTGGTCAGACATCATGGGGCACAGAGGCCTCCCATCAGTTCAGATAGCATGGTGAAGGGAACAATGACTTCTGCACTGTGATCTTTGGTGGCCAACCCATAACATGAGGCTTAGGCTTGATAATTTGGACTGCTGCAAAGTACCAAGTGGCACATGTAACCCAGGATTTTAAAAATATCCCTTTTTAGTGGCTCCCTAGGGGTAGTGGCTTCCCTGAGGGAATTCTAGCAGGTCTGGAACATTATGAACATGGAGCCTGAAAGTCTGGAATAAAGTAAAATGGCTAGTCAAACAATCCTTTTAAAAACAAAATAAGAATCTTGCCATTATTTCAGTATGTAAGAAGCTAGAACAAGTTGCACAAAGTGGAGTAATGATATAGCAAATAACCACTGAGGAAGAAAGCATGGGACTGATTAAAAGGCAAAAAAAGTTCCTGAGAACAATATTGACAAAATGTGGAACAACTAAATTCTAAATTGTATGAGGAATTTTCAACAACCACCCACTCTGTCTCAAAATGAAAAAAAAAAAAAAGGGGAACCAGCATTAAGAAGATCCTGCTTCATGCAGTCGCATTCTGAGTACAAGAGAGGACAGTGAGTGAACAGACATCCCCACCCCCACCCTTCCTGAGGAGACCTGTAAAAGGAAGAAGTTGTTCAGCCTTAAGTAATAGAAGGGGTGCAATTTCACAAGTGTTTGCACAAGCAGACTGTCACTGAGAGACAATTCAGTGGGCATGTCTTGAGGCTTAAGTGCTGGCCTGTTCAAACTTGTCCTTCGGAACATTTGCTATGTTGATGCTCAGAAACTTAACCTTGAAGCTCAGAGTAGCTTTAATGTGCCTCTGACAGCAGGTCTGAAAGAGTACAGGGTCCACATGTATTCAGATTGCTTTTTAGAGGGGAAATAAATGTGTATACACTCCTTATACATAGCAAGGTGACAAGATGAAGAAGGAAAGAGAACTACAAAAAAGCAATTACTGCCAGGATCACTTTAAAGAAAATGTCCTTTTCTACCTTTAGCCTAGCTGCATTCATGTTAATCCATGGTGGTTTTAGAGGACTGGCAGAACAAAGAATATTCTTTCCTAGGGCTAGTGCTAAAATCATAATAACTAGGAATATATCTATTTCTCAAGCAGCTTGATTATTGATAAAGAACTGCACCTGTGGTTAACGCAGGCTGCTTACAAATGACAAGAGACAATTTGTGATAACTATGGCAATATCATTTTGAAAACTGTTTAATCAGATCTTAAATACTAGGCAATATCAACTGCTGTACAAGGCAATTCATCTTCCAATATAATGAATGTTCTAGATATACCCAGTAGAGATTATTATGTAATTCCTATTGTAGCTATATCTCAGGTCAGCTCATTGCTAGACTCTGTTCAACTGAGTATCCCCACAGAGAAGCTGATGAACTTGTCAGGATCAAGGGGAGGACATTCTGTGTCATAGTACACTCATGAGAGCTTAAAGCATCAGAACTAGAGATTTCAGACTTTGATTTCTATTGTCAGTAATTTGCCCAAAAAGCATAGCACAAACAGTATTTCCAGAACCAGCAATGCCTTTAGATAAACATCCATCTGCTTGGTAAGACATATGGCAAACTGCTGAATAATGGCTTTGCTGAATTAATGGAAATTGCTTACCTCATCATAATAAGCTCTCAGATCGGCTCTTTTAGATCGTAAGTCCCAGAACACGATGGTCCCATTTTCATAGCCTATCAACAGCTGGAGGAGGGAAAAAAACCACAATTACATTTTCTGATTCAAAAGGTACATATAAATATGGAATAATATAAAAAGAAATAACAAAGTGATGGCCAAGATTGTAATTTGCCCTACACATAATACCTTGCTTTCAAATTATCTTTCAGTATAAATTACTTCACATTGCTGACAATTTAAGATCTGACATGGAAAAGAAAAAGGGCTTTATACACCTTTTTTTTCCCTGGATGATTATGCACCTGGACAGTCTTCTCAATTGCATATCTGCTGAAAACCAAAGATGGTAGCATGTTCCTACCAGGTCTTACTTTCCCTCCCCTTGTTGGAGAAAAAAAATGTTTCACACCTAAGATACCACCTAAATAACTTCAAACCAAGAGAATCACCAGATTAAACTTTCATTTAGCTACTTATATTCCTTTTATTTATGTTTACTATTGCTTTAAAACAATCTCAAGGACTCCTACAGCAGAGAATAAATTGCTTGCTTTCCAATAATTAAAATAAATTAACTGATACGTCAATTTTTACTTCTTATAGAACTGGGACTTCATATCATCATGCACACCAGAGAAATACCAGCAAAGATTTCTGAAAATATGAAAGAGAAGAAAAACAATAGTCAGGAGAAAAATAAGAATGAACACAATCATATCTCCTTGTCTCCACTCAGAAGAAGTGAAATATTGATCTGGTACTGTAGAGTTACTCTTCATTTGAACACAATTAATTTCAGATCTTATGGACAAGATCACATCTAGCTTATTTAGGTGTCCTGGAAACTGTTTCCCATAGAATCTGTCTTCTTAAGAACCTGTTCTGGACATGAAGACTGGAAATGGCTAAACTGGAAGACTCACATTTCTGTGATAGAATATTTTATAAAACTGGCAAAGATAGTTGCAGTTATTCATCATCTGTAAACAGATATATCACAAGATGCAGGCAAGGATTTATAGTTTCTATATAAAGAATTTGTGAAGAATAATGACAAGACAATCTCTTAGCTGGAGAAACCTTAACAGCACCTTTACTATCACTCACTTTGGCTTGCATGAGTCCTAAAAATGAAATTTGGCTGGGCTGCTAAACAAAACATCACTTTCTTTCCAAGTATAACTGATACATCAATACTGCTACAAAAGAGCCTGGGAATACTCTCAGTTCTACTGGATATAGTTCTTTTCATTGACAGGAGAGTATTCCTTTTGTGGAATCTCCTAGCTAATCTGGAAATTATTTATAGTTAATATATTTAATACCTGAATACAAACAATAACTACTTATGCTCCTGAAAAGTATTCTCCTGAAAAAAATTCAAACTGCCCTGGAAAAATTCCAGAATATGTAGCATTTTTGCTCTGGATGGCTCCATATGGGATTTTGTGTCAGAGCAGAAAGCATGCAGCTAACTGGATAGCTCTTATGTCAGGATGCCATATGGTATTCTGGGATAATGGGCTGCCATTGACACAGTGAACAAGGAGGGTCTTACTGCAGATGCTTGCACTGTTGGTATAGCAATCCCAAATGGAAGCTATTTGTATATCCAGGAGTTAGTGATGCTCATAGCAGGTCACTTGACTTGGTGCAGGTCTGTGCTGTGCTGCACACAGCACTTGGCTTTCAGGCCTGCACATATTTCTTGGCCACAGGGTAAAAACTTAGCTGCTATTTCTAAAGGACCTTGTAGGCCTCCCCCACTTGATAAAGGTAAGGGCAGTACCTCTGTGCCCTTATCTTAATGTAAGGCAGCATGTCTCATGTGAACATCCTTTTGCTTGACTGTGGAAATGGATATGTCGCTTTTAAAAAAAAATATTTTGGGATCTCCAAAGACCAAAATGTTGGCAAGCGCCTCTTCATAGAGGATGGTGCCATGCCCTTATTGGAGGTTCATCCCATGCTACACAGCTTGGGCTTCCCATGCTCCTTTTTGTATTCACTCCAATAAATAGTATTTTAGTAAGTTATGGAGTCTGTGTGCCCTCCTTACTGTCATCACAACAAGCACTTGCACCTGGGCATTACACTGGGTACCAAACCAGTCACATTCAGTTTATATCTACCAATATTCTTTTCACCTCAGCTTTTGTACAAATATATTCAGAAAAGGGAAGGAATTGAAAAGCATTTAGTATGTGGCCCTGTTTCTTAATATGCCTTTCTTCCCTGGGGAAGCAGGCTTGCCTTTTGATTTTTATCCCTCTCTTTTGCAAAGATATCATGCTCCCGGTAATTTCTTAAAGGTTAAATACCTTTTATCAGAGGCTGCATTTCACCTGAACTATTGCTGAAATGCTTAATGCACAACTGCACTAAAGAATTGCAAGTTACAAAGTATGATTTCAGGGAAGAAATTGAAAGGCAAAGAGATTTGCTGCATAGTCAGGAATCTCTCTTTTTATTCAGACAGTAGTCATGCTGCTTTAGTACTAAAACTGTGGTACAGCACTGAAGCCAGCTTGGGTGAATGGGATTAGTCTCATTGCCAGGATATTTGTGATGCTCTGGATTCTGATCTGTCTGAACCATAAGAAACTCAAACATTCCCACTCCTCTTGGTCATAGTGATCACTTGGGAGATCTATAAGACAAGCTCTATTTCTGTAATAGAAGTAAAAAGCAAAACATCCATAACTGAAGTTGGAGAGGAAAACCTAGACAAAGAAAAACAATATCTGTAAAAAGAGTCGAGGATGGAGAAAACTCCAAACATGTATCTTGCCTTTCATGGCACTTCATTTAATTACTCATGCTTAATTAGGTTACAAAAAAGGCAGAACATAGGACAGAATTTGGAGAGAGAAGTCCTGGCAAGATCTTCCTTTAGAGGAGTTGTTTCACATTTTGACTTAAATCGTTCTTCATCAAATGCTTTTGATGATGGGAGGAAATTTCTTTTTCACAGTCGGCTAATTACATTCTGGTACATGACAGCAAGCCCCTTCCTTGTACTGGTAACACAAAACAGCTGGAGAAAAAAATCCCAAACAAGCAAGCCTGCCAAACAGGCTTGCTGTTTTAGGTATTATTAGATCTCAGAACTCAGACTCAGAGATAGGAAGTTTAGCCCACCAGCTAATTGTAAATAACATTAAACCTTTACCTATTAAGCTTTCTCTGTTTGCTGGGAAACTGCAGATCATTCAGTTAATGTCTTTTCCTTTGTCAGCAAGAAAAATCATGTTTGCTACAGATCTGCCACTTATAAATGTCTGTGCACTCCAGTCTGTCCCTAATGTACACTTATTAATTGATTTGGCAGACACAGTTTTATTTCATGAACTTAATCACTTGGTCCCCGAATTGTTCTTCAGTGACACATTAAATGCCTAAATTCTCTTTGATGTTTGTCTTTCAGCTATAGCTTGTTAGATTCATAAAAGAGACTTGTCTCCAAAGCCTACCTAGATAGCTTGACTGGAAGCCACTCTGGACAAGTTTTGAATGGCAGAAGTCATCCTGAATTGCATTCACTCTTTTGGCACAAGGAACCCCATCACCAGTCCATGAAATGAACTCGAACTTTTAGGAATTCAAAGGATCTTAATGAAAAAGGTGAAGATACTGCCAGAGAACAAACCTCCCTGGCTTTTAAATAGAGCTCTTATGATTGTCCTAGAATTTGAAAGGTCTGACTATGTTTCAGGACTCTGAACCACTCATCGTTCATAGAAGAAATACTTATTTACTTCAGCAAAACTATCCCAGGTATATAACCAAATTTTTAATATGCCAGGGAAGGCTATACCACTGGACTCTTGGCAAAGTACTTGTAGAGCAGTAGTCTTGTAAAGTACAAGAAACTCTGCATTTTGAGTAATGATTATGACTGATTTGTACCCACTATAAAAAAATTCCTGAAACATATGCAAAGAACACTTCTCTCTCTTGCCTATCATGATGTGATGTGTGGAGTCTGACTTCTGCCTCCAATACATTTTGGTGGTCTTTGGTTAGCTTGGAGCTGTGGAGATTAGCAAAGTATGTTGAACTATCATCAAACAGCTCTTTTATCTAAAAATAACTCTGCTAAATTAGATAAAAGTCTACCTATGACAGTATCTTGTACTGAAATGGCCAAGAGCAAATACTAAATAATATGGGAAGAAGACAAGTGTTTGCAACATTCACACATATTCTCTAAGTAATTTTCTCATTCAAGTATAGCCATCTCCTCAACTATACATGGTCCTGTTTAACCTCATCTTTAAGAACCTTTTAGGAGAATTCAGCAAATTTCATCAGTTACCTTCACATGGATTTCTTTTCTGTTAACTTTTCTAGTCTTCTTTGTGATCCGTACATTTTCAGCACACACAATAGCATTTGGAAAAAGTTTCATAGGTTCTACCCATTGCACATTTGAAAAAGTACTTAATTGTCTTGTTTGGAATCTGACCTGTCAGCTTAATTTGGTATCCTTTTAGTTTTTGTATTGAAAGAGACTCTGAGCTGTTTCCATCCTCTTAATATCAACTGTGATTTTTTCAAACTTGGAATCACAATCAGGTGTTTTCCATAGTGAATTTTCCTGTCTCACTAAGTTGTCTCTCATATAGAAAACCCAGTCCCTTCTCTGAATTGCTTTTATCATTATGTTCATTTTAGACATAGAAGGACAAGTATTATACTCAGTAATCAGCAGGCAGGTCAACAATGCATTTCTTTAATAGCTTTGCTTTGTTTTCTATTCGTCTCTGCATAACGCCTAATTTTGATTTTCTTTATTGTTCACTACTGAGCATTGAGCTGACTGACATTTCCATTGAACTATCAACCATCACTCAAAGCTCTTAATACCAAACAGGAATCATCAGCTCACACCCATTGTTTTATATGTAAAGTCAGAATTATTTTGCCCTACATGTACCACTTGCCATCATTTACCCTGAAATACTTAAAAAGACAGTATTTAACCTGCCATTTTACTGCTGAGTTTCCCAGCCCCCTAAAGTCCAGCAAACCAGGTGACATCACTACTTAGTCTATTTTCTAGGCCATATATGACCATGTTGAACAGTAAAAGTCCCAGGAGCTGCTTTTTCCCCCATTTTTTCCTCATTCTGAATAACGATTGATTTATTCTGCATTCTAACTAAAGTTTAATGAGACTAAGTTGAAAAATGTAGTTTAATTTATTTCCCCACTGTTGACTTTTTTTAAACTTAGAATTGTCTATTGATTTAATGCTTGGATTTTCTCTTACACCTGTGTACCTTTTACTGATATCTTCCTGTAAACACAATCAATTCTACATTCTGCAAAACTGCAAGTATTTTGTTAGTACCAATTCATTCTTTACACCACTCTCAACCTATCAATGATATAAAGAGCTGTACTGAGATGGTTTTAGTATACCTTACATTTTCTACTACTGCTCCCCATAAATATTCAATGTTTGTTTTTCATAGGCATTTGTCTGAATTTGCTGTTGCTCTTTGAATGCTAGTACTTCATCAGTGCCCAGATGTCTCCCATGTGCCCTCTGAGCAACAAGCACTTGTATTCCCAAGCCAGTTCTCTTTTAACTCTCTTGCCCGGGTCCTTTTCGTCTTCTCCCTTTCTGCTGAAAAATATTTTTAGGTTTCTGTTTGGACACAGTGCATGACATTCCTGTAAAAAATCTTCACTGACAAGACCATTTTTTTTAGTACCCTTTTTTCCTACGCTATGTGCCTTAGGTAGCTCATCAGCAGCTTCTGTTGTGGCCGGCAAACGAGAATGATGTCTCATCAATAAACCTTTATTCTCATCAGGTATTTTGCCAGAGATAATTAAACTGGATTTCTTGATGGCTTCTTGTTTGAGGCTGCAACACTACACTTCAATATGCTTAATTACTTTATTTGATAGTATTCTAAATTGCTTGACCTATTGTGATTCTTCCAGAAAGGCTCAGAGATGCCAACCAAGTTGTTGGAGGGTTGGTTCACAAGTGCACTGTTTGTGTGTAGTTCTCCTTGCAATATGGGTAAGTCCAAGTACAAGTGATGCAAATGAAAATCAGATGCAGTCATCAGTGCTTTTCTAGGTACCCAAAATTCCAGCATAATATCCCCCATAGCAGCATCAGAAATTCAAACTGCTGCCAGTTTCTAACAACTATTAGCTGTTATGTGAGGCACACTGTCAAACAGATACACCATTTGGAAGACGCAGTACTTTATAAATACACACTGAAATGCAATTAATAAAAATTATCAAAACCAGTGAGAGAATTAAATACCCTTTCCATGCAGGCAAAATGCTCAAATATCAGTAGCAACACATTAAAAAAAAAAAAAAAAGGTGTAATAGAATCAGAATTCTGTCAATCATATTTCATCTTTGAAAAAGTACCATACAAAGAAAGCCAGCTCTGATTGTGCCTCCTGGTGGTATCAGTAACAACCCTAATGCTCTGACTGTATGTTTGGTTTCCACTTGTGCACAGTGAACAGAGTTGAGAATTGCAAACAGCAGCAAGTTCCAAACTTGGGTTATTATCATGATAATTCTCCTATAAGAAAAGATTTCCTATCTTATAAAAACTTATTATAATGCCTTCATAAGTGCATGTTTATTCAAGTACCAAAGTCATGATACAGCTTTTAGTCAACCTTACTTAGTCAAGCTTTTTTAAACAAAACCATTTAGATGGCTATACATTTCAAGGTACATTGTCTTTGGCATACATTTCAAAGTACAGTATGTTGTCTTCATCACAAATGTTTATTCGGTAAATTTGTACAAAGATAATTTTTTTCTTAAGAACAGTAAAATAGTTAAAATTACTTGCAAACGTACAAAGGAAGCAGATGATAAAATCAGTGAGTAAGCAAAAGGAAAGAGTAGCAAGGCAAATAAAGGCTATGAAATGCTGCAAAATTTTATACCATTGGTTGTACTCACTTTTCCCTCGTCTCTTGGGCTGTCACTTAAATGTACAACTGGGCCAGGGTGAGTCTTGGTGGACCTGCAATACAAAAATCAATTAAAATCTCTGAATGTTTTTTGTTGTAAGAAGAGCTAGATACCTCAGCTTCTAGGTGTGCTAACATGTATACCTCCAATGGTTTAAAAATAATTGTAAAAAGCCTGACAGGGTAGTTATAGGTATCTTTTAACGTTCTCCTCTATTTCCTTTTTGCCATTGAAGGCAAAGATTCTCTTTTTTTAATGAATCCTTCCTTCATTTTTTTTCAAATCTCAGTATTCTTCCTATTACAGTAATTTTCCTCCTCTCTCATTCTTACAGCTTTTTTGCCTTTTCTGTTCTCTATTCCATCTCTTTCTGACCCTCTCTCCTTACTTGCTCCATTTGAAGGCTAATTTGCCAAAGATTTACAAAGTCTTCACTGGATTCATTTCAGATACTCATAGCATGACTCACCAAGTTCCTATGTCACTAAAGAAAGGGTTTCAGTAACCTCACCTACACTGCCCTGTCAGGAAGTGTTTTAGCATTACTTCAGCAGGGTTTCAGAAATGGAGCAACTTGCCTCTGTCTGATCTGTAAAGCCTTATCTCATCTTCAGACCAACTAACACAGTTACACCCACAATGCATGTTCAGTGGGGCTCCTCAGCCACAACACCCATCCTATGAGTCTTTGTAAACCTATAGAGAAATTAATTACTATCCTTGACACCCCCTCCCTTTTTGCAACATGTATCAACCACATCATATGCAACTTAGTATTGAGTTGTTAATGTCCAGCACATGACAGAAAATGCAAATCATTTTCTGTCAAAGGAAACTGATTGGACAGATGGAGATTTTTCATATTTTCTGACCTGACCTTCAGGCCCTGGCAGTCATAGAGAGCAAGAAGACAAGCACCAGTCCACACTGAATGCCTGCACAGAGGAGGCCCTTTCTCCCATCTACGTTCTGGGGTCAGAGTACATGCCCTTTGGAGTTCAGCTTAGGATCTGGACTTGCATGACTCGTCTTGGTTCACCAAATGTCATCAGGAAAAAAAATATGGCAGAGATTGGCAGAACCCATAAAGTGAAGAGTTTATCTGGAAAGCATCCGTAAAATGACCTAGGCTCCAAGTTTTAAAACAATCTGCAAGAGAATTACAGAAACAAACCAAAACAAGCTTCTCCAGCTGAATTACTCAAAGGATTTTTCTAAAATAATGGCCTCTTCCTTTGGCTGAATACTGCACTGTAGCAAAACTGGCCTCTCTTCTATAGGTCAGACTCCAAATCAAGACTGAGAGTGGTCACAAAAATTCTCAGACAACTCAAGTATTAAGACACTGTGGACTGATCCATAGCCTCATAAGCTTCTCCTTCCCAGAACAGTATGCTCCAATTCTCTTAAAAGCATGCACACTCTTCTCTGGCCTCTATACTTTGCCTACCTTATGTTTTAAATATTTTAACTATTTAGTCAATGCACCAAATCTGAGTCAAAGCAGAGAGGCAAAGATCTGAGCTGAGGACAATGAAAAATTACTCCAGACATCCTGAACATGCAGCATGTTATCCTCCTACATGAGGTCTCCACCAGCAAGGATTCTGCAAGAGCATTTTGCAGCATATCCCATCACAGAAATGAGGTCAGCAGGAAAGCAGTGGACAGACAGTTTATACAGTGATATTCTATACAGACTGTCTTTGATGGTGCCAGCAACAAGCACCCATTTCTCCTGAGACATGGAACAAAGCCATTTTTACAGAGATACAGATAGCAGGAGATCTGGCTGTCATTCCTATACAAGCCAATTTACCAGAGGGGACCCCTCTGGCTGAGCTTCTGTTTCTGAATAACCTGTACCGAAATAAAAATATCATTTCACAACACCAGGCCTTGGAGCAGGCAGGGTAGGTAGGCAGTGACAGGGAACTGGGGGGCGAGATGAGGTTGTTGGCAAGCAGTGCTTAGACCTACACATATCTTGTACATCTGTCCTGAGGGAGTACATGTGACAGTTTGGGACAGTTTCAAGTGCTGTTTCTGACATAGATTCACCTGTCTGAACTGGTCAGAGTATTTTGATGGAAAGAACTAGGTCTGTTTGGAGTATATGCTGCCTATGCAGTGATGGGCAAAGGAGGAAGGGTGAGAACAAGAGGAAAAAACAAGATGAGAAGACACAGTATAAGAATTTTCACTTTTTAGCCAGATCACAGACAGACCACATAAGAGAGAGTAGAGGCAATCAAACATCAGATATGTTTCCCCAGAAGGCTGGGGACAAACAAAATGGTAGCAGAAGCACATGGAGGCTGACAAAGCACAATGGGTTGGGCAGCTATCCCATTGAAACCATTGAAACAACCAGGATGCACGGTTGGATGCTTGGCCATTCCAGTCTTGGTACATGACCAGGAATATTGGCAAAATCATGACAAATGGAGGGAGAAAGGAAAAAAGCCTAGTGTCTTTCTAAGGTAAAGATTGATTCCATCTAGTCAGGTCAGCTCTTTGTACCTACTAATTTTAAAAGTCAGGAACAGTTTAGATAAATCTGTGCAACCAGTTTCTTTGAAGGACACATACGACATTGCTTAACAAAGAATGCATCAATTTCTCTTTGGGTAGAAGCAAACTCTTACATGAGCTGTCCTCTACTCTTTAGGCTAAACATACTTTCATAGTATAGGAAAGCTCGTTGTTCCTCTGTAAATGGTACAAAACCCCTGTCTTTTACTACCAGTCTTATTTTTATCTTATATTCCTGCAGGGTGTAGCCTCAAATGTCCATGCTAAAAACTCAGCTGAAAGAGGAAACCTTCACTAATATAATACATTTTCCAATCTCCTCCATTTCCCTCTTGAATTCATTGTATTTGGGGGATCCTGGGATTTACTGCACTGTATTAATATTGAAGGGTTTGGGTATTTTTTTTCTTAGGCACTTTTTGTTTCTTTTAGGAATATTGTAATTTAATTTTTATGCACCTAGTTACTTCTTTAGTTTTGTTGAAAAACAGCTATATATATACTATCAGCAAAGTTGATACCAAAACCAGCAGTCTGTGTACTGAATGTATGAGATTTTATTTTTCCCCATTGTTTTTCCTCTATATTTGATATAAGTATGCTCTTAGTATTCATATTACCTTCTTGTTATTTTAATAATTTAGTTGTTTTGTATAATACCTGGCTTGCTCTGGCTTCTTCCTTTTTCTTTCACTTCTATTACATTTAAGACTGTCAGGTATGCCACTCCATCAAAAGACTCAACAAACCATTCTTTAGTTTTCATACACACATCATTGGTTTAGGAAAAATAAGGATTCAGGGGAAGGGGCTTTAGTTTTTGTCTTTGTTTCTCACCATTCTACTCTATTTTAACTGACAATAAATTAAATTAATTTTTTCCAAGTCAAGTCTGGTTTCTCCATTGACAGTAACTGGTAAATGATCTTCCTGATTTTCCCATTATTAATGAACTTTTCCATCTTATTTTCTTTCCCTGTCCTGTTGAGGATGGGGAGTGAGAGAGCAGCTGGGTGGAGGTTTCCCAACCAGCCAGGATCCAACCTCCAATTTCCTTGATTGCTTAACAGAGGCCAGCTTTGTTTATACATAGGTAAGAGTAAGTAGAGAGCCTATTAAGTTTGGCAGTCATAACATGGCTTCTGTCAGGAAAGCAGAAAGGATCCTTTTTAAATAGTTGTATGTATTTAATGTGCCATCACAGATAAGATCACACACAGGTGACAACAGATGTTCCTGAAGCTTTTTGGAGTGTAGAGCCTATTCCCTGGCAGTCCTCCTGCACTGCCTTTCCAGGGCTCCAAGAAACATTGATTTTTTTTATACACAGCAAGTAAAGTATTTGCATCAAAACTGATTCCTCTTTGGACTACATAATGAGGAATATTCACAAGATGCAGCAAGCATAAAGTTTGGTTTTGGATGAACATGCACAGTCCCATCTTGGGGGAGATGTTTGTGGGAGAATAAAGCAATACAAAATAATCCCAGTGCAGGTGGAGCAAGGAAGACAGCATTGCTGTGTGGGAAAGCATTGCAACTTCCTCAGTTCTGCAAGACCTTGTGCTCATTGATCTGAGCCTGCCTGATGGCTCGATACAGAAGGAGAGCCATGGTAAATCTTCTCTGGTTTGCTTCTCCTGAAGTGATGTTATCTCCCTCTGGGTACAGGACTGTGGCAAGGAACCCAAACCTTGTCCTTTGTGCCACACTAAGACCAGGAACTATCTGCCAAAGGCAGATCAGTGCCTCACTTCTTGCATCTCCTTGTCTCCTCAAGGAAGCTATGTATAAATAGAAATAACAACAATATCTTTTGGAGCCCTAGGGAAGTGCTGCTCGTAAAAGGAGAGCAAGGCATCAGGCTGTACAGTCAATTTCTCATGAGGATAGACATCATGACTGCACTACATGCAGGATTAAACAAAGCAATTATTTAGTTAACTATATTATATCAAAAACATTATTTTATAGAACCCATGAAGCACAATCAGAGCTACAGATAACAGTAATTACTGCCTTCATACAGTAAATTATACTGCATGGGAAAATGTCTACACACAAACTCTATTTTGCCTCAAGTTGTTTTCATATACATAAAATGTTCCACTTCCCCTCATTGCTATTACAGTAAAGTTGCCAAGAAGGTTGGAGAGTTGGACACTGTCATTGTGGAACTGCTTACAAAGAAAAAACGTGCCATTGAATTATGTTAAATGCAAAAGCAGAGATCTGACAGCTCCTGGAAAGGACAAAGAGGTGCTGGAAAACCAACCAGATTTGAAGCTATTGTGAATAAAGCACTCTACTGTTGATGACAGATATTTGTGTATAGGCATTCCTTCAAGCTGGCCTTGGGGAGCTGCATAAAAACTAACTAGATCCTATTCCTTGAGAAAGGGAAAAATAAAGAAGAATCAGCAGGTGAAAATAAGGCATAAGTGAAATAGTTGACCAGGGCATTTTTCATTTCCAAATAGCAGTCAGGGTACAGCTGAGAATGACTGAGAAAATAAA